AATGACAGGGAAGATGCTGTTTGGAATACTCAAAGGTGAGTGGAAAAAGAAACTCAGCAAGCACACATGTATGCGCACATGTGCACGTACACATACACACAAAGTGAGAAAAAGAGATCTAAACACATCTCATATATGTTGTATGTGTGCGGTAGTGTGCATGTGCTGATACTGGGTACTTCTAACCCTACCTAGAATAACTCATTTTGAGTTGGAATGAAGTAAGAATTGCTATTGGATTCTATAGCTAGCCCCAAACACAAGGTGTAAACACCTGATTTTAGGTGGATTCTGTTTCATTGAAACAGTAACTATGATGAGTGAGGCTGTGACCAACCACAGAACTTTCTTCTTAAGTTTTCAACAGACAAACATTTTCACAGATTAATATAATGCAATGGAACACATTCTACCTTAATGTGATTCTGAAGCATCTAATATGATGTTATAACATTTGCTATGACAGATCACTTTTATAAACATGAAATGGACTAGTGCTGTGATGAACCTATGGTACATGTGCCGGCCAGCTGATTTTCGGGCCTTCTGGGCCCACCAGAAGTAGGGAAACTCCGGAGGACCTTGGGGGGTGGTGAGGAAGGCCCGTTTTTCTCTCTCCCCAGCCTCCAGAGTCTTTCTAGGAGTCTGTGGAGGGTGAAAACGGCCTTCCCCACCTACCCAGAGGCCCTCCGGAGGCCAGAAACAGCCCATTTGCCAACTTTCGGTGGGACTGGAAGTTGGCAAACAGGCAGTTTTCAGCCTCGGGGGGGGGGGGGAGGCTGTTTTCACCCTCCCCTAGACTCCTAGACTCCCCTAGACTCCTAGAAAGACTCTGGAGGCTGGGGAGAGCAAAAAACGGGCCTACCATGCCATCACGTGCCAGGAGCAGGGGGAGGGGTTTGTGCATGCATGTGCTGGGGCAGGGCACATAGAATTATGGGTGTGGGCACATTCATGCGAAACACCCCCCACCCACCCTCTGCTTCTGGCACGCGATGGCAAAAAGGTTAGCTATCACTGGACTAGTGCATTAATATTTAAAGAGTTCAACAAAATTGCCTTAGATTAGGGGTGTCAAACTTGCATTGTCATGTGACGTATCGGGACTTTTTTCCTTCACTAAACCGGGCATGGGCATGGCCAGCGCATGACACATCCGGCCCACGGGCTGCGAGTTTGACTGCCCTGCCTTAGATCAAACCAAATCATTAATTCATTTATTCCAGGATTATGTAAATTTTGGGCTGTGGGGAGCTGCACATTTCTGGAACAACAAAAAATAGATTTAACAATGGAATTTAAATGCAATAGTTAAATGAATACTATTTATTTCCTCTGTGTTTAATAAGATTTCTTTTATTGCAAATGCAATTTGGTAAAAACTGCTGCAGGGTTTCCATGAGCCTAGCCCAAGAAATCAATTTAAAAAACAAGCTTACTTCCCCCTAGTTCAAATTGAGTAGAATATTTTGTAATTGCAGGCTTTGTGTTTCAGCTGCTCAGCCAGGACTGTTGTTCCAGCACTGGGAATAACTTGGTCTAATCAGCTGTTGATGAGATTGATGGTGTGTCGTACTGTAAACCAAGCACTGACTGGTGGAGAAACACTCTATAGTAAAAGTGAACTCAGAATGTTAAGAATTATTTTTGCGCCTCATTTGCCCCAGCATTTTTGTTACTATACTGTAAATTTGGAAGGTGTAAAGGGAATCAGGAAAATCAGTCATGCTTATGAAGAAACATAAAACAGTATTTTTTAATCATTTTTCAGTATAAAATGGAGTTAATATATTAAAAATCCCCAATCTGTTCCTGCGATTGTATCATCCTATTTATCTATTGCATTATCCTGTCTGCTCAGCAAAGTGCCTGCTCAGTAAAATTCTTGTATTATTTGATCTGGACTGTGCTCTCAGAATTATAGCAAACAATAATTTGAACTCTAGTTTAAACTACAAAAATAGAATAACAAAACTTCAGTTTCTAAAAGAATCCCCTTTAGCAGTATAAAACAGATATATTACAAACATCTGATAAAATAATTTTGAACCAAAAAACCTTTGAAGGTTAAACTGTATTTCTAGAAAGGAAGTTATTTGCTGTTAGCAATTACATTTGCGTGTATTTAACACAGGATTAACATGCTGTACTAACAGTGCTTAGGCTTAATTAATAACTTAAGAGATCCATTTAAACATGCTGTATTCTTAAAATCAGGGTAGACGATTAATGGTGCGATGCAGCTTACTAGCATGGCTGGGGAATTCTTTTCCTGGAGAGATTTAGTTGGGTCCTATGTTTACCTTTAAGATGACAAAACTGAAAATGTCTTTTTTTAACTTTTTTGCTGTTTTAACTTATGAAGAAATATTTATATTTATATTCTGCCTGTGCACTAAATGTAAATATGGAAATATAACTTCCATTGCAGTCTCTACACAGGAAAAAATAATTTGATTTTCTAGATTTCTAAAAATATAAAATACAGAGAACAAAGAACCCCAAGAGATGAAACTTACTAGATAAAGTCCTCATGTCCCCAATCTTAGGGGGAAAAGATAATAAAATTTAAATGTCCATATTTATTTATTATTTATTTAAATGATTCATGTGGCTGCCCAACTTGCAAATAGCAATTCTGGGGAGCTTATACATGGCTAAAAACATTTTAAAAACACTTCACAGTAGACATTAATTAAGGCCAAATCCCAACCGATTCAAATTAGAAGTCATTTCAGAATGAGCTTATCCAGCATTGGCTCAGTGCCCAGGAGAAAAACAACTTGTCAAAGTCTGATGGAAAGCCAACAGATTTGGGATAATCAAAATCTGATGGGAATGAAATTCCATACGGCTGATGTTGTAACATAGAAGACAAACTTTCTAAATCCTGATAGATGACACTATTTCATTAGAAGGACTTGAAATATCCATACATACCTCTGTTGGATTTCATGGGATGAACAGAGACATTGTCAAATATTGTGCCTATATACTTAAGTTTGTTATACACTTTCTCCAACATCATATTTTGGGATATGTTTTTCCTAAATGCTATAATTGATTTCTGCAGTTGCCTGAAGAAGCTTCTCAATGCAATTTATAGATGATTAAATAGAAAGTATTCCTTCACTTTGTTTTTGTGTCTAGAAATATTTTATTATACTATATTTAAACAAAGATTCCCATTATCGGAGGAAATCCTGTTCAAATAATATTTAGTCTAGTTGATCTTATTCATTAAAACATCTTCAGATCACAAAGTTTTGGTTAGCATATTGCATGCTTTCTAGTAAATTATGAAATTACTCTATATGCTCTGTTTTAATACAGCAGCTTTTTGTGGCCACACTTTATTCAAGGATAGAAAATCCTGGATTCTTTATTTGTCCAAACAAAGCATTTGCCCTGCCAATAAATTTTCTCTGTAGGAATACATGGGACTTTTTTCTTTCCTAATAATCTATACACTATTAATTAAGCTTTTCTTTAAGCTTAAAGCTTTTAAGTTTTTGTTAATACCATATAGCAATTTGCATGTACTTTAAATCATGATTAACAGTAAAAATAATCATCAAAAAGCTAGGTAAATACTAAAATAGATGATAGTAATAACATTTTAACATACTGTGAACAAATGTTGAGTACCACAGCAGCAATGGAGAATCTTAGATTTTCATTTATACGGAATCTTTTTTTAATTATGTCAGAAATGTCTGGAAAATATCTGGTGGGAGTGTTTTGTCTCCATCATGATTGGAAGAATTAAGTGATACAACTTTTATTAGATTCCATTTTAAGCAGACTGCAGAATTCAATTATTTTACTACACAAATTCAGATGACCATTTGGTTAAATAACTAAAGATGAAGATTATTTAAGTTTACAATGCAAACATTCAGCTTTCTTAATATAAACTATGTTTACTTACTTTACAGGCTTATTAAAAATTGAGAATATGTTTAGAAACTTTCCAAAATAATAAAATACACTTGACTTTGGCTGGATTGTTTTCCTGAAAATATTTAATTCCGTGTCTTATCATGTTGTCTTAAGTTTCTAGCTTACTGAAATACCATAATAACTTCACAGAGCGATGACCTGAAGATAAAATAAACAGTTCAAATTAAACAAAAACATGCCCTTGTCTCTAAGGCAATATTCTTCAGGATATTTAAGACAATACCACCCTCTCCCAATTCAATGCTACATTTTTAAGGAAAAAACTTGTTCTCCACGGAGAAACAGGTAGCATTGCTCAAGATTGTACATTTGTAGGATAAATTTATTTCATAAATTCCCCAAACGTTCATTTGAAATGTGAATCTTTACACAATAATCTTGAAGCACAAGTTGTTTTTTAGGTACACAGAAGTTGGGGATGAAGCCCTCTGTAGAGAATTATGCAAAGTAATGGATTGGATATAGCAGCATATCATGTATATACAGTAGTGGGGTGGATTCTATGAGGTAATGGGGTGAAATTACAAAAATGATGGTTTGAAAGAACAAGGAGAGAATATTCTGTGAACATAGTTATTTTCTAAGACAATGTTTTAAGATGTTTGGACTTCCAACTCCCAGAATTCATAGCTGGTTTCTATGTTGTAACTCATGATGGCCATAAAGCGAATCCCCGCTTTTAACAGTCCTATTTTGTGACAGTTGTTAAGCAAATGCAGTGATTGTTAATGAACCAATGATTCACGACAGGTACAGTTTTGCCAAAACCCAGAAGTAAGTGCTGGTTTTCAGCAAATTTTATAAAACATGATCACAGAACAATGCAAATGGCTGTACAACTGGCCTGGTTTTGAGTGCGCAAAGTGCAGTCGTGTGGCCATGGGGGGAGCACAATTTTGGAACTTCAAATTTGGATTGAAGTACCCCGCTCCTCGGTCTGTTGGAACTTCCAATGGTTGCTAAGCAACTAGTGTTGAGGACTAACTGTAAACATTTCATGCACAGAACATTTCCGCCCCTTTAATAAAGAAATCACATTTATGTAGCTCTGTTTGATTCTTTATTTTTACACTTTGAGAGTAACAAGAAAGCTTTAAAAATGAAACAAATACTTCACAACTCTGTAACAGATTAAAACAAAAGAGACACCATGCTATACATTTCTGAAGAAAGTCTGCTTCTTTAGACTAAGGCAAATATTTTTGCTCTAACATCCATTTAAGAATTAAAATAGATTAAGGAAATTGTTGTGGAAAATTGAAAATATGCTTTTCTAATAAAAAAACAGACTTTGTGACTTTTAAAAGAGCCAATTTTTTACTTTTGCAGATTAATTGATCATGCATTATTTCTTCCTATAAGAATAAAATTCTTCATTAGAACAGTTGTTTTAAAGAGTAAATGCAATTTTTAAAAATAAAATATGGAGAATCAAATCTAAAAGATTGATTTAGCCCATTTCCATTTTAATATTTTCCAGTGTTAAAACTATACTATTTAGAACAGAGGTGTCAAACTCGCAACATCATGGCTGCGACACGTGACTTATCTGGATTTTTTCCCCCTTTGCTAAACCGGGCGGGGGCGGAACCAACACATGATGCATCTGGCCCACGGGCCACAAGTTTGACACTCCTGATATAGAACTACAGGTAGTCTTCAACTTACAACCCAAATTTTCTGTTGTTAAGGGAGACAGTTGTTAAGTGAATTTTGTCCCATTAACACCCTTTCCTGCCACAGTTGTTAAGTTAGTAACACGGTTGTGAAATGAATCTGGCTTCCCCATTGACTTTGCTTGCCAGAAGGTCGCAAAAGATAATCACATGACCCTGGGACACTACAACCTTCATAAATGTGAGTCAGTTGCCACAAGTCTGAATTTTGATGACCATGGAGATGCTGCCAAAGTTGTGTAAAAAACTGCTGTTGTAACTTTGAACTGTCATTAAATGAACTGTTGTAAGTCGAGGACTACCTATACAATTTATTTCCTTTTTTAAACTGCTACTTTGTTGATTTTTCTCTGATTATGGTATCCTTAAGTGCTCTGAAGCAAGTTTCGAAAAGGTACGTGAATTACTCCATTTCAGCAGTTTAGCTGAATATCCTGCCATTACACAATAGCCCCATCAGTGCTGCCATACATAAAGTGCACAGATGAAATGCCATTAGTTACATCCAGTTTTGCAGTAAGTCATACATACAAGGTACAAAAACTAATTAATTTACTACTTGAAGCCATAGAACTGCACATTGATAATTACACACGGATTAAGAATTACAGTAATATGTTTTTAAAAGTAAATTTTTTCTGATTTAATTTTGAGATATACAATAATGAAATAAAGTTTCATATTTTTAAAAGGGAATATTCATAACTTCAACAAAATATAAACACGTTCTGGTAAAATATTTTTTACATTAATTTATGTTACAAGTATGTATTTTGTACTTCAGCAGATTTCATAGTAGCAGAGTTCAGTGGGAAAATTGACCTTGTTAACAAATTGGTGTATTTCAACATTGTAAACAAATTCAGTAAAACACTACACAATCTGTTTCAGAAATATATATAATAAAAATACTTAATTTTCCATAATCGGTGGAATTACTAGTTTAACACAAAATATCTTTTAGCTAGCTGATTTAACATTGTTAAATCTAAAAAGCATTCCTGCTTGCAAAGAGGGATATCTGTAGTAAATATTATCTGAATTGTTTTCCATGAAGCATTTTCGAATCAAGGCAAGTGTTCTAGATCACCATGTTAACAAAATAACAAAGTTAGAAGGGACCTTGGAAGTCTTCTAGTCCAACCCCAATGCTTCTTTCAAAGACTTGTATTGAGGCTAACTATATTCTTGAGCATCCTAAATGGATATAGGAACATCTATTAAAGATGTAGCTTAAGTAAACTCTATTTAATATTGCAACTTATTTTATTTATTTTATAAGACAAATAAAATTGTGACTTAGGTACTAATGAACAGTATCGTCTAAGAAAATATATAATGTAATGGGCAATTTAGATTATCACCATCACATACGATTTTAAAATTAAAGAAACTAAAAAGAAAAAATCTATCTGAATAATGCTGCTGCCAAGACACTTAATGTGCAGATGTCAGATAGATTAATATTGCAACTGAGAATTCAATTCACAGCTGTTTTACTTAGAACCCGAGTTGTGAGAAATGGCAATCTTCCTAACAGGAAGAACCCACATAGCTCCTGCTCATGCTACCATCCCTTTGTTTCACTTGGATGCCTCAAACTTATTTTTCAGATTACAGTTATGAGGTCTAAAAGGGATTCACGGATAGCTGTGGACTTAATTGGATGGCCCTGTTGTTTCCAGAGATACATTTTAAAGACAGGATTAAATAATTTATTATGAAGAAGCATACTTAATAGGGAAGGAATCGTGTTTAGAGATTATACAAAACACAGATTGTTGCTTAAACTACTTCTGAGAGTGGAAAAAGCCCTTTATAATAGGAGGTTTTGCTGGTGAGGACTCAGTTCTTCAAATAGGTACAACAGATGCACAAAGAGAAAGAGTTATTTCTGCACCAAATACAAGATTCTAATGAAATGAATGGTATGTGATTTATTTTTTCACAATACTCACTTAAATTAATGAAAGGCTAAGCTATCATGAACTGGAAATATATAGTAACTGTTTCTGTAACATTGCTGAAGATAAGATATACTATATCCATAATTTCCTCAATAGTATATCAGTAGAGTGATAGTTTATCACAACTGCCCATCGCACAGCATGGCCCAGCCATAGGTTTGTGTATATCCACTTTTCTAATCAAATGTACTGAGTAAACTGCTTCAAAGAAAAGAATCAGGTAAATTTTTTCTCTCATTTCTTATTCACAGATAGATCCATAATAAGCAAGGCAGGATAGTCAGATAACTAAGAACCAAGTTTAGCACAGTCATACAGATTAGCCACAAATATTTATTTCCCATGTGAGAGTATTAGTATTTTAGGTCATTTGCTTATTCATAATACATGACATACTAGATTTTCCTCTAAAAATAAATCTTCCTATAATTTCCAGAATTTTAAGTCTAGATGACCTGAGAATTCTGAGAATTTATTTCATCTCATCTGGAGGACATAAAGTAACAATAACAAAGTAACAATATTCATAAATTCTACTGGACAGATCAAAATTTTAGTCCCACCAAATGAAGACAGCTGTTATGGTTCATTCCTCTAAGCCTACTACTATACTTTGTTATAAGATCAAAACAAGATGGCATTAAAGGGCTGCCCCCCTTCAACTTTTTGGCAGCATATATTTTCAACTTTCATTTAAGCTGTATGCATGCAAGAGGTAATTTTATAACAATATAAAGCTAAATATGAATATTCACTTTAAAAAAATGTTATTAAACACAAAGGAAAATGTAACTCACAACCATGTTACCATACAGAAGAACATTTTATTTATGTATCTTTTTCTTAAGAAAAAGGAAAAATTGTTAAAAATAAGGGAGACTAGTATTATTTTAATAACCTAACCATTTCATTCCAAAGAGCTTTAAATTTTATGCCCTTATTCTCAAAAGTATATTGAATAAGGCATATTTATAGTCCACTTTGAGTAACAGACTGAAATTGTATTAAAATATACCACCAATGTAATGTAAAGCCTTTTCAGACAGGAATGCCAAATACAACAACTTAAAAATGGAGTCATTGTATCTTACTTCAGCTTTTTGGTTTCTTTATATTTGCTTTCTAAAGTCGGTTCAGAATTTTAGAATTTAACTAAGATGATTAAGAACAATATAACCAACTCCATTGTGAACCAGCAAGTATAATTCACTGAGATTTACAAATGATATGCAATGTTCTCACAAAACCTCTACATAGTCAGCAGCATTGACCAGAGCTCAGTTCTCATTTAAAGACTGGACTGATGTAGCTTCACCACAAATCTTGTTACATGTAATTTTTATAAAACTAGAATATATTCCTTTTAATGCTTTAACCTCTGCAGTTCACATTAACATTGATTGTACTGCAAGAAAGTAAGCAAAATGAATGTAGCTTGGTTATTCCTACTGGCCAGAGATTTAATTTTCTTGGTATACAATCATGACTTGCACACATTTCCTACTTCCTGCTTGCAAATAATAGTATTGCAAAATGGAAACAGATAAACATCCTTTCTTATCTAGTCCCCTGAGAAGAGAAAGACTTTATCACCCAAAGGAGTAATAAACCAATGGAAGATTGAAAAAGTTGCCACTAATAGGCTTTTTTATTGTGACAAATTTCTTATGAGACCCTCTTGCAAGCCACAACTTCACAGTACAGTACTTATTTTTCCCCTTTCTCACTCCAAACTGAAATAGAAGTCAGATTCAAGCTGCAGTACGTACTTATAATTCTGGATTGAGAAAAAAAGGAGTGTTCTGTGTGAAAAGACTGAAAACCTGATGGGTTTAGCTTATTCTGCTTTTCTCTTCCACATTAAAGTAAATTGCACCATTTTCATTAATTTTTAGACTGAAGAAAGCCACAATTAATTGGCTATTGTCATTTTCAAGAGGTGTCAAAGTTTTCCATTCTAATTAACCAGTATCTTGCCCTCCAGATTTAAAATCTGAATGTCATAAGCTACATGACAATTTTCATATCTGCAATATATAATGTGTACAAAGTCCTTATTCCTTACAGCGATGAACTTAATGTAAATCTTATTCTAGCAAATGCATACATAGTTAATAATGGATGCTCCTGTAACAGTTTTAAAACAGCACGTTGAGGAAAGCTTTTGCATTTTTTGTATTTCAGTTCCTTTTCTATTTTGTGGGCATATTTTCCTCTGCTTATGAATACTGCTATACAGCTATCTGTAACACAACTCCAAATTGCTAGTAACAATGCAATAAACTTAGCATGCTTCAGAAAGAAGCTAATCACTAACTCTAGGATTCTTTAAAATGCCAGTTATTTTAAGAGAGCCTAGAAATAGTCCATTCTGTTATGTCTTTAACCTAGAAAGTGCTAAAAAGATCATAATGGGGATCCCATTATTATATGAATCTCAGTGCTTCATGATTCATACGAACATTTTTAGCTAGCATCTGTTCCAGAACCTCAGTGGGCCAAATCAGTGTGACTGACACTCTTAGCTCTTGAATCTGTCAGACAATTAGTTCGTCCCTGCATAGGAAAGAGAACAGAAAGAGTTTATATACAGTTCTAAACTATGCAATCAGTCATTTAAAAATACAAACTCCGAATGAACAAAATGCAAAATAAAAAATGTAGTACTGTTTACCTAAAATTAGTTTTAGGATCTTAACTGAATTTCAAGATTGTTCAGCACACTTTCAATTAACTAGATAGGCTTTATTCCAACATGCAACAAGTGCATTTTGTAGCTTTATCAGTGCCTGATTCAGTTCCTTAAAGAGGAATCCAAAAAGCTCCAAATTAAAGTACCTTTTTCTGCCACAAGCATAAAATTTGAAGCATTTACTTCTGTTCCCAAACTGTGGTTATCTGAAGAACACATTTTCAGTCAAATCATTCTTTATTAGACAAAGTAGCCATCTGTACTATCAGATGTTTTTTTATCATGCTTGTTTTAGGAAGTGAGCAATTAAAAAGAATATGTTTCTAAGATAGCATGTGAACATAAAAGATCTTCAGAATCTTCAGAGTTTTTTCAGAATTTAAGATATCTTGGAAGTTTTAAAAAATCCTAAATTCTACAATTTACATTGACTGATAAAGAGTTATGCCACAAGATACTGAACTCATGAAAATATAGCAACTTCAGCAAACAAGAAAAAAATACAATGTTGCATCCTGAAAATGCTAAGAGCTATTGATAAAATGCACACTAAGTATCATATATTTATATTATAAAAATAGAACCATTTTACATTTTTTTCATATCCATCCTATTTAAATATTTACTTACAACCGTATTAATACAAATGTCTCACAAACTGAAGACTTTATCCCTCCAACTACTTTTATTAACCTTTGTTATTATATTCCATAAGATGTTGGCAGCATTTATAAATAGTGCTTAATTACTTTGGGTATTTTATTTTGAGCTTTATACGAATGCAAGAATATTTCAGACAACTGGAACTACCCATGTATAGGTTTTTACTCTCCTGGTGTTACGCATTAGTATTGAAACACCTGCTATATTGTCAACTATGTTAGTGAAAATTATAGGGTTAGTTAACAGCCACAACGTAACACTGGTCATTTAAACAAGACTATTAAATCAAACATGGACAAATATTAAGACATGTGAAAGAGAATCTTCATGCAGACATTATTAAAATGTGACTGAGTTAATATTTTGAGATCTCATTTTTCCCCACAGAAGATTGTAGCACTACCCAATGATTTTCATTAGCAAATACTATGTAGAAATTGAACTTTGAAAAAACAATCTTTATAAAAAGTATTGGTTGGAGTTTGAAAATATTTTTGCCAGTGTAAATCTTCCTGTGATTACTCAGGGGCACAATTTATTTTTATTTATCACCCCTTGGGACAGATTAAAGTTGCTCTAGAGCGGGGTGTCAAACTCACGTCGTCACGTGATGTATCAGGACTTCCCCCCCCTTTGTTAAACCAGGTGGGGGCGGGGCCAGCATGTGATGCATCTGGCCCGTGGGCAGCGAGTTTGACACCCCTGCTCTAGAGAGTAAAGCAAGCTCTGTGAGTAGCCTCTGACTTTAGCAAAAACTGGCAAATAGGAAAAGCCACACAGAATTCATCCATTGTTAATTACCTTCTAGACTAATTCTCCAATTTACACTACTGCGGATTGACACGTAAGTGCTTCAGTATGCTGGATATTGTTCAGATATATTTTAATCCTAATCACTAAACTCCAATAGCCCCTTAAAATGCCTGAACAGTGAAGGTAACCTTGCAAACTTCAGAAAATGTTAATATAAAGCAGTCAACAACAGTTTGTCTGCTTTCCCTTGATAATCAAGGTGGAAAACAAGGATGGTTCTGGAAAAGCATTTTGATGATTTTGAAAAACCATGATACAGTAAAATAGTATAAAAAGGATAATATTCCTGCAAGGGGGCCTTGAATATCAATGAATTTGTGTAATTTCTAATGCCTTTAATATACTACAAGACATTACAGAATAACACTGTCCATACATAAGACAAGATAATACAATATCTGCTACCTGAAATTATTTATATATAGCATACAGATACCTCTCACAATTCTGTTCTACTTCCCTATTATGGGAAAGACAGTATAAGATTTTTTTTTTCACTTATAGCCAATTATCTTTATCATAGTCTCCAGATAGCTTCATTCATACAACATTTATGACTTTCTCTCTTCACTACAAAAAACATACATAGACAGATGCAAGAAATGCAAATCCACAATCCAAGAAGACACGTTCAGTTACACAACACCTGATTGTAGTCTGAACTGCATGGTTTTGTCACCTCATTAGCTATCTGTATGAAAGACTTATTGTTTCTATTGACAACACTGGAATTTGTGCCCTAAAATATTCAGAGAATAGAAAGAGCAATGAATTAGCAGCAGTCAACAGTATATAAAAGGGTAAAACTGCAAATGTTGATGGCCATTTTAAATAAAATTGTTGGGCCTACATACTAGAAGCTTTGAAATAGATTGTTGCAGTGTTATGACATAAAATTAGGAATGAAACACTATCAAACTTAGTTCCATGTCTGAGTTTGGGTTTTCATATGCCCAAATTCGTCATTTTACCTATAGCTATTTTAAGCCCTGCCAGTAAGGTCTAGTTGCATAAGAATATTATAGGGCTTCTTACTTGAAAATGATCTTCAGTTGTTTTGCCACCCACGTTAAGAACATTCATTGAACTGGCACGCTTCATGCTGGACAGTGAACATGCAATGATAAACCAATCAGAAGAGCTGAAAATGGAAAGCTCTGAATACACAAAACATATATAACAAGAAAATAACTCCTACACTAATAACACTCTTATGACTGAAAGAAATACAATTTAGTATACACACATTTTCCTATATTTATCACAAAAGATCATAAAATGTAAGATTTTTTAAAGTGCCATTTTATTAACAATTAAATTCTTTTATTCTTAACTGGTCAATTCCACCATAGAGCTTCTAAAACTCAAACTGTATAAACCACCATACTGGTTTTAAATTATTATTATTTTAAAGGTAGATATAGTACTACCGGTATATACATTTTTTTTAAAAAAAAAATCCTTTAGTTAAGAACATGTCATTCACTCTTGGTAACTGAATGGGCAAACAATAGCCCATCTTGACTTGTCCCTTAATAGCTTTAATTTAAATTAAATAATTTAAATTATTGGTTTTTAGAGATTCTCTTTTCTGGAGATAGTTTCTCTGATCAGGATTGCAGATTGTAGAATATAATACATATAAGGCATTGTCAAAATTCTGCCTTAATATTCTAACATTAGCCAATTGATATCCACAATCTGCAGAGATATGGTAGCAAATCTTACTGTATTAAACAATGTAATCAACTCTTAAGCTCCAGAGGATGTTATTATCATATTTAGCTGTAACAATGCATATAAAACCTTGTAGAATTTCCATGATATATTCCAAGATTTATTGAACAATTATCCTACACTGAACTATAGCTATAATAATTTAGGGGCTTCTAAAATTTTAGAGGGTTTATCCTTAAAGATTTAAAACCAAGTAGCATAATACACAAATTACTATTTTTCTATACTCTTGGTGTGCTCAGCACAGCAAACATTTGCACTAATTTTAAATGAAGTAAATGTAGGCAAAACCTGGACATATGCCAGCTAGGATTCTTATGAACCTTTAAGGTCTAAAACAGTAAAGTTGGGTGACTAATTAAACTTGGATGTTTTGGGATGAAAAACTTGAAAGAGTTGACTATTACTACCCAGTCAGTTTTCAGTAATCATTTGATAAGTTATAAGGTAAGGGGTTTTTTAACAGTTTAACAGAAATTTGCAACGGTTTATTCCCTGCGCTGGCAAGGTCAGATTGTGGTGGCTGAAATTACTTGGTTTTATAGATTTGTGTTGTGAGTAAAGCAAGTGTATATCAGTAGACAGGCACACCGTATCTTTTGGCACAGATTAGCCAAAAGACAGCCCCAGCAACTCACCTATGCATTCCTAATGGTAAGTAGTACCATTAATATAACAAGCCTTGGAAATTCAAGCAAATTTATTATAAACTAAGGTATACAAAATAAGAAATATTTACACTGTATTAGTGCCAACAATAACAATATATTTCCGCATATCCAAGAACTTCAATGCATGCATATTAAAATACAGGTGTTATCAACATAAAGCAGTAAGTCATGCAATATTTACATGTTATTTATTTATTTATATATACTGTTAAACACATATTGTTAATCTAAAAATGGTTAACACAGCACAGATATGAACATCTGAATTTATCAGCTATTAAATGAGAATTATCCACAGATGACACTGAAACATTAAATAATCAATTTGACTTCATACCCATGGTGATATAAATTTGTTTTGCAATACAAGTAGTAGTACAGTATATGACCATTGCAAATACGGGAAATCTTTGACAAGACAACATCTGGTTTTTACGTGTTTCAAAATTTCCTTCTGCATTAGAATCTGCAACCAGGTCATGATACTGTTATTCTTGCAGCACCATTTCTTCAAGTATAAACCAATAAAGTACAGAAAATAAATCCTGAGGATTTTAACTAATATCAGCACTAGATAGCCCACTAAAGACAGGGCTGTGTAAAACAGGAGTGTGTAAGGGCTGAGACTGAAGAGAAGGACATTAGCATCAAGAGGCCTACCAGTTAATTTAGAGAGGTAGGAGGAAGAAGCCTAGAATGTTATCTTATGGCTGTAGAGTACGGATGTACACAGTTTGTGACTTCTTTGCACTGCCCTGGAAAATCACTGTTTATGGCTTCTTGTCCGTAATAAAAAATTAAATCTAAATCAATTTGATCTGAACATATTCTGCCTAGTGGAGGCTAGAATTGAATAAAGGAAAACCTATTATTTACTGCTGGGTGTTAATTTGATTTCCTTAAGCGTGTTCACTAAACCATTGGCCCCAAGTTCTAAATTGGAGGTAGGTAGTGGTGTAGATTGTTCTATAAAAATAAAAAACAAATCCAACCCTAAAAATTGACATTACGGGCCAATGTTTTACTGATCACGCATAAATATCATCATGGACAGATACCACTTCAAATGAGATACTAGTTAGAGGTTAAACTATATAACAGTTTGTATTAAATAAAAGCAGGTCGGAATCTTGTTATTCTTCTAGTTGGGCTAATTCCCATTTGCAGCAGCATTCAAGGTGTCATACATGTTTTGAACCTATGGATTTATGATTCATAAACAGCAGTTTTCCAAGAGTGTAAACCTCTTAAGACAGGCTGTCAAAAGCAGTTTGTGATACTGCTCTGAGACCTGCTATTTTGAATCTAAAAATCATCATGGCCGTTTATATAAAAGTTTTAAATTGTTTCTTGACTCTTAGCATAATAATCATATTTAAGGAATGCAGCAGGATGAAAGTAATATAGGAACAAAAAGTAATAATAAAAATAAAAGTAATCTTCATTTATTTCCTTCTCCCCATATCCAATACTATTCAAAAAACTAATAGGTTTTTCACTTGTACAGATTTATCAGAAAAAATGATCTCAAATGAATAGAAATAGCAGATCTCGGTGAAAATAAGAGCACTTAAATAATACTGTTATTTAACAATATTTTATAGAATGTATATTTTCAGAACAAAGTGGGTTGCTCTTTGGAAAGCAATGAAAGTAATTAAGTATTTTTTTATTTGTAAACCAAGCTTTTTTAAAAAGTGATGAAAGCATATGCTAATACAACATTTTAAAGCAATATAAAAGACCTGCAAAATGTATACAAATTTTTAAGTTGTTTTTTACTCAAAGACAAAGAGAAAAGGCTGGTTTTAGAAAAAAAAAATACTGTTGAAAGAAACAAAAGGCACGTTTAAGTATATTTTAATGAAAGAAGTAGGTGGCTTTGGAAATATTTTGCTATTATTTATTGACTGAAAATCTAGTAGTTCAGAGAAAAAGTATCCCCAAAACCTATTATCAATAGCCTAAATACTGAAATACTCCAAACTAGAAAGTGACAGAAATAGAAAAGATTATGGGATAAAGGCCCTGATGGTTACAAACAAAGTAAAAAGATAATCACAAGCAGAAGCAACCATGTTTACTGTAGCAAAAAAAAGAATCACATCTGACTAGATGCTTTCCTTGTTAAAAGAAAGACTTTCATTTCCTTTATTACTGTTACCTTTTTGTCAAAGCACCATAGATAGAAATAGATTGGTTTCTATATTTCAAACAAGATTGTCTCCATTGTTTTTACTGAAAATGGCATTGCGTAACTTTTTGTAACAATTAATAATACTTTCATGTAATAAAATCTGTAAAAGTTTATTTACTTAGATCTGGAAACAATACTCTATCTCTCTCTTTCTCTAACTATATCTATATCTATATATCTATATCTGTGTGTGTGTGTGTGTACTGATGATATTGGTACCAAGTATATCTTTTATTCATTACAAGGACTGGATAAAGAATTTCAGTCCATTTTAATATAACAATAGTTTATTCGCAGGAATTCTAGACAAAGTAGATGAAACAGCTTTTATTAGTATGTGAGAATTACATGTTTACATGTTTATTCAATGTAAACAGGTACCCAATTAAATAGATCTGTATAGATTCAATAACCTAGTTTGATTAGATATTATATATATACATGCATCAATTTCTCATGTACCAATTAAATCTTAATAACTTTTTCAGAATAAATTAAAAGGCTTGTATTTTGTTACTAAGGAGAACCTGCTGAAATTCCAGCCAAGTGCATTAGTCATTCTATGTGGGATAACAGAGCAGTCAATTTTTGAACTAGTCATTTATATAATATCAAAATTTTTACAAAGCCATAATACTGTTTACAATCAAATTAAGGGCAAACTTTTTACAACTGTTTATGACCAACTTTCAACAACATCCTGTGTACTGCATTTTTTGTGCGAACTGCTTCCTGATTAAACTCTGGTGCATTCGCACAGCAGATAAACCCATTACACAGCAAGATAGGTTTAGGCATAATTCAATTCCCATGTGTTGCAACACATCTAGAAATAATTACCCAGGACTTTCTCGTGAACTTCCTCCCTTCAGTTTTCTAACCAGCTTCTCACTGCTGCGTCTAATTGAAGCACGAAGTTTGCTAAAGGAACCACTGCGTTTTAATGATCCAGTGCCATCCTGAAAAAAATGAGCACGTTTAAAACCGCAGAATCATTCATCCTTTGTCAGAGTTTAGCAATCACAACTAAACACCAATTGGTTATGTTCTGCTGTCATTGAAGTTATAAGAAAGTATCTCAATTTCAAACAAAATTTAACAAAAAGTTATTCTTAACAGATAGAGTGGATAATCTCCAAGATCACTTTGAATCTTAATTCTAGAATTCTGTGATAATGGCTCTGAAATTAACAGATTAAAAATAAGTACACAGTATATTATCGGGGGTGCATCACTTTAACTTAATCATGATGACAAGTTATCCAAGAATTACAATTCTCATACATTTCAATGAAACAAGTTTTGGTAGATAGTTTTAATAAGATAAAATGTTTTAATTATCTGAACACTTAATTGCTCATTTCCACTGAAACTAAATGGACGTGTATCAAAACAGTATAGGTAAAGGCAATTCCTTGCACAATAGCCAACATTTCTATTAGCAGCATAGACATCTAACCCACTACTGCATTCTATGCAAGCCATGATGCAGTAATAAGAATACAACAAAAGCCCACCACCAAGCAGTAGCATTATAGTAACAGCTGAGTGAGCAAGATTTTATTGAGGCTCAATCTCATTTGACTCATACGTAGCAAGCAGATATTAAGAAGAGAAGCATATGAGAGCACAAAACATTTTAAATTCTTGCACTTTAACCTTAACAGTATTCTTGAAAGTTAAGATGCAAGGCCATAATTTTACAATAATATATTTGGTGACATGTTACTTCATTTTCCAGAAGACCAGTTTACATGGTGAAATATTTGTTAACTTTATTCTCTAAGTAACTTGTTTATGCTTTATTTCAAGTTACTAATACCTTGCCGTTTTTGGAAAATAAATCTTTCCATACACAAAAGGTCAGAAAGTACTACGCAGAAGACAGAGACAGACATCAGTTGGACTGAGTTTATTAGACAAATACACAAAGTCACCCATCACCAAGATTAGTAGAGAAAAGCGTAATTGCATTTTCACATGAATACTAAACAGCACTGCTACTTTTGAATAAGCATTAAGTCAAGACATCTATATTGATGTTAAGCCCTGTTATAAGTCTAAATACAATGTAAGTATGTGCCTTACAATTTGAGGTTTTTTAACTAATTACTTTGTCAAAGTAACTAACCTTCATGCCATTTTAATTTTTTGTGTAATAGCTTAAACTATCTTTCATTATAGTGAAACATCTACTTATGAATTTTCATTCTTAGTTTTGTTAACTCATCTGTTACACAGCAAATGGATATTAAGACTACATTCTAGAAGACTACATATCTGGCAAAGCGACACATATACAAGAGAAAGATCCCCTGTCCCAAATGTAAGAGACACCAGCACTGAAGAAGTGGCCATTTTTACAGGAAGTATAGCTGTGACAAAGATCTTAAGGGATTGCTAAATACACAGCAGTCAGTAGTGGAGAGAAGTTAGAGCTTGAAGATGGTGTACGCCCGTCATGCAGGAGACAGTATTAGAGTCAGAAAAGGCATCTAGGCCTGTCGGACAGAAATGGAGAGAGAAAAAGCTGGATGAAACTGTTGTGGAGAAAGTTCAACAGTTTTCAGTTTCAAGCTTGTTAATACTTGTTAACAGTATTTCTAGGTCACATGAAATATTATGTGAATTGCTCCATATATATACTTAGCAGAGAGGGGGGAAATTGAATATTTTTAAAATGAAAATAAAAGCCTTTAAGCAGGCCTTTGTCTTCTGTTGCAAAACTCATAGCATTCGCATGCTGAAAGAATCAGAATCATCCTGTGAATATAACAAATATAATTGAGAATATATAGATTTTATAGCCAATGAATTTCCATTAAAAATACACATCAGCCAAAGTCAAAAGGGACCAAAAAACCTTTTAAAAAAACCAGAACAAGGTAGAATAATTTAATTTTTAGATACTATGAACAATACCAATGGGAATAAACGTGCTCATAATAAATGCATCAATATTCCAAAACTTAATTATACTGTTAAATTAACAAAGCAAGCGTCCAGTCCTTTATATTAAAAAAATAGAAGAAATGGCAAGAGTTTTGCAACGATAAATTGCCTAAACAGAAGAATACTGTAAGATTTGAAAGATACCTGTTGGAATACTTGTATTGTGGCCTCAACCTTTCTTTGAATAAATACTATTTATCAATTCCTTCTTTTTTGTTCCTTCGATTAACTGTTTTCCACCTAGATTGCAAGGAGGGAAGTATGACAGTTCTAAATTTACACCAACCTCATATTTATTAGTAAGATCCAATGAGATTGGCCTGCCTTTATCTTAAACATCTAATGAAAACCTAGGCAAATTTCAGGCCTGACAAATCTGTGTGTATTTAATTAAACAGTAAAGCATCAGGGGCTTATAATTAAGGCTTAGGTTACCTTTGATGACAAAGTCAACCTAAACACTTGTTTTCCGTATCAGAATTGAACCCCTCCAGAGTCACCTCAGCGAGATGGGTAGTATACAAGTTTCATAAATAACAATAAGTTTACAACCACAATTTATGTTCGCAATTTATTTTTATGGGATAAAAATAAATAAATACATAAATTTATGCATGTTTTCTCCCAAGCTTTGATTGTTAAAGCACTTTTGAGGGAGAGGAAATGATTATAAAATAACAAAAAATACTGAAGATTAGAAAACTATAATCCCTGAGGAGGATCCCAACAGTTATACACATGGAGCTAAATTAGCACATTTATTCATATTGGTAGACTTTCCAAAACTATGACAGCACAGGAGCAATACTGTATGTTAAATATTTAAAGTTTTAAAGTAACATTTTTTTTGTATTTATTGTTTAAAATACTGCCTTGACCACTTCTACAACGAAGAATGTTGTAAGAATATGGTGTAAGAATGAATAAAACATCCTGAAGCATTACTGTCTAGGTAGGATAACCAGCCCTTCTTTTTTAAAAAAATATAAAGATAACATCTATTTTTAATCAAGAGGCTGTTCTGAAAGATTTTAAATTTTTGTACCTTCTATTCAGAATATATAAATATACAGTATACTGTATCCCAATAAACATTTGAAATCTATTTCCATTGCAATTACTTGCCTTCAGTCCCTTGAGGACTTCTAGGAACAAGTGGCAGACTGAAGATGGCTCAGCGAAAAGCGGAGCTAAAATTTGCTGCTAAGAACAGGTAGCTATCAAGTAGATCAGCTCCTTTGACCTTCTCTTTACTGAGATATTAAAGTGAGTTGGGAATGCAAAAGAGAGAGGCTGAAAATCCCTATTGTATTAAATTTCCGAATTTCAATATCACAAACTGCTAAGATTATTTTAAAGATGACTTTTCAGGCAAAGATAACATTTTAAAACAATGAAAAATGATTAATACTCTTAGAGAAGAATCTCAAATTTAGCAGTGTTTTATAAGAATATGAAGGATATGTTTAAATTACAGCTACATTTGACATGATTTAAATCTGGTTTACTCAACCCTAAAGACCACATATTATTCAAAGCAGATATTTCCATTTTAAAGGAAGTCATTTATTGATCAGAATATTTTAAAATATGGACTATTTGTGATCTAGAAATACTGTTTATTTCCTTGAATGTTCGATCAATTGCAAATCTGCATATATCTTAATAAAAAGTAAAACACATGCAAACAGTGCATCTTCCTGCACTTGAAAACTAAAGGCATGCCAAGCAGAGGAAAAAAAAACAGGGAAGAGTACAGTACACAGTTCTAATTCCAACAGGAAAAATAAAAGAATAATGTAGTAATGGTGTTTCTATTATATGCTGATTGACTGTCTTAGCACTGTTAATACTAAATTAGAAAGAAAGTCAAAGAAAAGTCAAAGACAAAGATGAGCAGGAAAAAAAGTCAAAGAAGAAGGGAATAAAATAGAGCTACACAACCTTTGGGGCTCTAAAATTCAGGCAACATTTTAGAACAACAGAAGAAATCTCTGAAAAATATCCACTATTGAAACTAATCTACACTTCCAAATGCAAGATGAATTGCTATTGATTTCAAATGTATTATAAAAACAAAATTATCATGATGCGCTTATGATGAACAATAATACTATCTGCTCAGGGTATCCAGTTAAAAATCAAAGCTAGAAAACTATCTGCTGCTACAACAAGCAAGAATCATTATAACAATGATAAAATTATCAGACAAATAAAAAAACAGGTTCAATTATTTAAGAACAATACTGGCTTTAGAAAATGCTTTTTGTTTTAACTTCTATGGCTCACGATTTGCATTACCCAATGGGAATAGATGGCATGAGATAAAAAAAGAAAGTTTTTTTCTAAAAATGCAAGACTTCCCTGGTGTTTGGAAGCAGTAATTTATCCAGCTGTAGAGCCATATTTTATTTTTGCATTCTAGTGCCATGAAGTTTCAGAAATGTTGAATGCATAAGTAGATTCTGCAGCACACCTCACAACATACAGGTGGTCCTAGACTTACAACCGTTACTTGGGACTGGATTTTCTGTCATTAAGAGATGCAATCAAAAAGTACAATGTCATGTGGCCACATCACTTAGCAACAGCAATCCTGGCAGTCTTCATTGAAGTTGTTAAGTGAATCCCACTGGTGAATAAGTGAGGACCCACTTAGATCTAAACCATTCCTGTTGCTCCCTCCCCATCCTGAGCTCCAGTAAGTTAAGGGAGCCTTCCTATCTCCTTTCCATCTCTGCCTTTGGCCACTTTGCCCAGCAGCACTCTTTGGCAGCAGCAGCAGCACAAAAAAGAGGCCCAAGGCCTTCAGCAGTCTCAGTCAGCCATCACTACTCCTGGATCCCTAGTTCAGCGTCAGCACTGCCAGCAACATGGAGTGCCACATTAAGCCCCACACTTGCAGCCAATTAGAGCCACAGCACAAAGTCCCAGCCACCACCACTGCCCTGCATTCTGCAAGTCCTGCCACACACCCAGCTGATCTTCACTGTCTTCTTCTCATTGCTGATAAGGAAGGCTCAACCTGGCTATAAGTGAGGCAGCTGCTGACTATGCCAGACCTTCATCCAAAGGCCACTCATGTCATTCTCTAAATCATGTGTACTCTTCTCACAATGCTTCAGAAATCTTCTGAGGCCTTCCAAAGTGAGTCCTATCTGCGGAATGGTGTGAGTAGACTTGGTGTGGCTGGCTGAGGCTAAAGACCCTGAGCCTATTTTAGCTCCATCACTATCACCACTATCACCATCACCGCCACCAAAGAGGCCACTTTGTATAAGGTGACCAAAAGGACAAATAACAGGTGGGGGGCAGAAAGGAAAGTGAGGAGAGCTGAAGAACCAATGCAATCATAAGTACAGCCAAGTTACCAAGCACCCAAATTTTAATCACGACCAAATTAGTTGTTCAGCACCACTGTAACTTTAAACGATGAAGCTGAATGAATGTTTATTAAATGAGGACTACCTGTATGGAAAAACCCAGTGGATTTCATTTATAAAGAAGTTATTTTCACTTTGTTTTCACAATTTAGTGTCTTGGTTTTTTTTTCCTTTTATATCATTCCATCTGAATTTACAGCAGTGTTTGTTTCCTGAATCAGCAAACTTTTTAAGTGATAAAGAATACAAGCATGTGACTGTCATACTTTGCTTCCACTAAAAAAAACCATTAGCTTGATTTAGGCGGTGTATTAACTAGGACATTCAATCAGCATTCAAGCACGCACAGCAAGATCCAAATATTAATTCCTAGATTTTCTTCATTTGAGTATTTTCCAATTGATTTTAAAATATAAAAAGCAGGATTTTTCTTTTACTCAAATCTGCAGATGAATATAAACCAAGAATAAGTTATAACGCCAACAGAATAAAAACTTGACTGCACTGTGTACTGTACTCACCCCATTCCATTCTAAGCTCATACTCACTTCCTCTCCTCCATCAGGTCCACTCTCATACTTTACCACGTCAATATTAAGGCTCTCGCGGCTTTGCCTTCTCTCTATACTTTCTGGATCATTGAGTACTTCAGCAACTTTTTGTTTGTGAACATTGTCAAGTCCCTATTACAACAAGGGGAAGACAAAATAAACATCAGTGAGGAGCTTTTCAAATCACTCCACCTTAATGAATTCACAATAAATGAAGATTAGAAAATTCTTTTATAGTTTCCAAGATTCTATATTTATCCTCAGGGTAGCTTTAAATATGCTTTACTAGGATCTGTGTACTAAAATTCCTTCCTTGATTTTGTTCAACTTGTTAGGGCTTGACACTGGAGCAAGTCAGATTTGGTTGTGTCTCTTTCAATCATACGGAATGCACAATGGATGGCTCACCCAGGAGTCCCTCTCAATCTCTAAGCAGCCACTAAATAAGCATCATACTCTAACACATGGGTTTACCTAGAATCCACATGGGTTTACCTAGTCCATGCAGCCAATATACATTAGAACAGGATTCATCCACATGGCCTACCTTCAACAAGTATGGCCAGTAACAGTGTTGCTGGACTCCAGGCCTAACCCAGCTGGCTCACAATAGGTCGTGCTTGCCCTGAGGTATCGTGTACTCAAAGAACAAGCAATACAGTGTACAGAGCATGAAACTGGTGCTCAGGCTGAAGGCCCGTTCTTCTCCAGCCAAAGTCGTCATGCCATGAATTGTCTGACTGTTTTGCTGGTTAGGTGTGTGTACTCCATACAACTTTTAATCTTTCTTGTCAATGTTGAAATATGAAAAATCTATATGCAGTAACTTTCTTTTTCAAAGATAGTTTGAAAGCTCCATAATCAACAAGGCAAAGAAAGAGAGCTCATAGCTGAATAAAACTAACTGTTATCAATGTAGTTTAAATTTGTCTCCAATATCTACGCAGATCACCTTGGTTTGTTGTTGTTGCTTTTGGGTTTTCTGGGTGCATCTGAAAAGCAAGATTCCTGGACGGCTCTTGCAAGGTTTTTTTTACTTTGGTGCTGTCACTGATCATTTGTCCTTGTTTTCTATACACTGCTACATTCTCTAGTGACCTTTGTTTATTGATTTAGAGACCGGTATTCATTTAAAAATGTAGAAAGGACTCCTTTATGGTCGGCCTCCTAAGCTCCTATGTATGCAAACTGTGATCCTGCGCGTCACTGATTAAACAGAGGTGCTTAGACAGATACTGAATGGTCATTTGTCAAAGATGCTAGCAGTGGATTCTTGTACTGGGCACAGACTTGTAGTCAGTGGTGCATTTTGCTGCAAAGATATCTTTGAACTTGTTGGTTTGGTCCGTTTATGGCAGGTTTTCTTTAGTATTGCATGCAATAAAGGAATACATATCCTTTGTTCCTAAATTTCTTTCTTCTGCTCTAAAATAATGATGATATAATATCAAAAATTTAAACACTTTAAACATTTTGAAGAACCTTTTCGTGTTATAGTACTTGCCTGTTTACGGGACCTCATTGCTGCCTCTTCTAATGTTTCAGCAGCTTCAAACTTTCCTTGACGTCTGTAAAGTGCTCCAAGATTCTTTAAAGTAGTTGTAACTGTTGGACTGTTAATTAAAAATCAAAATTATTTCTGATAGCAGTCCACAACAATCCAAGCTTGCAACAATCCTGCTTAAGACTGCATTGGAAGATTAAAAGCCCATGCTCATCTTAAGCCTAATTAGTAATAGCACTCAGACTTATATACCGCTTCACAGTGCTTTACAGCCCTCTCTAAGCAGTTTACAGAATCAGCATATTGCCCCCAACAATCTGGCTCCTCAGTTTACCAACCTTGGAAGGATGGAAGGCTGAGTCAATCTTGAGCCTGTGGGACTTGAACTGCTGAACTGCTGGCAGCCAGCAGCCAGCAGAAGTAGCCTGTAGTACTGCATTCTAACCACTGCAGCACCACAGCAGTATGTATTAAAAAATTAATAAAGTAATGGGCATTTATTTCCTAAGAGAATTGAATTTAAATACTTGCTTGTTATGGAAATGTTCATGCAGAAATCAGATTTCAGATTGTAAGTGATTTTTGGATAACATACTTGCAAAGGGCACAAATTGTTTTCATAGTTATTTTAGTCCATTTTATAGCTAGTTCTAAAGCAATAGCTTTAAAACATACAAATTGCATTATCAATTTCCCTTTATTAACTTTGTTCAATTTTTTTTAAAGGAAAAAAAAACTGCATAAAAATATCTGATATATAATACTCTGCATTTGATTCATCATTTTTTGCTACTTGTCTCTTACAGCAAGTGTAAACATTTTTATTCCAATAAAAGAAGTAAAACCACATCTTAATAACATTTTACAAGTTCAATGCCACATCAATATTAAAAATAGGAATTATAAAAACAAAGAGCAATAGCAAAAATAACACAAACATACGAAGTGCGCTCCTTCTCTCAAGGCACAGTGGTTATGGTGCTTGTCTAGCATAACCACTTTAGGCCACAAAATGCTTTTAATTGCTATAGTAAATACATTAGCTAAAGAGCAGCACTCTGTAGCTAGTGACTGCAGAGGGCTTTGCAAAACAGCATATTCAAGCAACTCAGGAATATTCTTGAGAATGTTTAAGATTTTTCTCTAGAGTCTAAACCCGTGATGACGAACCTGTGGCACGCGCAGCCATATCGGTAGGCACGCAAGCTCAGATCTGGTGCCCTTCTGGGCCCACCAGAAGTAGGGAAACAGGCTGTTTCCTGCCTCTGGAGGACCTCGGGGGTGGGGGGTGGGGAAGGCCCATTTTTCTCTCTCCCCAGCCTCCAGAGCTTTTCTAGGATCTGGGGAGGCCCTTCTGGTGGGACCGGAAGTTGGCAAATGGGCCGTTTTCTGCCTCCGGAGGGGTGGGGAAGGCCGTTTTCGCCCTCCCCAGAGTCCTAGAAAGGCTCTGGAGACTGGGGCCTACCAAGAAAAAAACGGGCCTACCAAGCCATTGTGTGCCAGGAGCAGAGGGAGAGTCACGTGCATGCATGGGGGCAGGCCGCATAGAATTATGGGTGTGGGCAGGCACTTGCCTGCCTCCCCACTGCTAGCATGCAATGGCAAAAAGGTTAGCCATCACTGGTCCAAACCATATTATTCAGGTGGATGGTTTTATAATTTTTGAACTGAAAATACTTTGAGATATTCTATAGAAAACATTACAGATGGAACAGCCATTTTTTCTTTGATCCAGAACACTGGAAACACTTCAAATGCTTCTGGTTTCAAGAATTTACTGCCCAAAACTGTCAAACTCCCCCACTCTCCAAGAAGAACCTAGTCCAGTGGGAACAAAAATTATTATGATTCCTTTACATTTCAGAATTCATACTATTGCTAACAGCCAAACACTACAAATGATTTGGGGAAAGTATACCTGTCAACTTTGCAAGCTTTGTACCAGCCTCCATATTCACCAAATATCATGCCATCTTTTTGTTTTCCCTAAAGTGAGAGCAATATATTAAGAAGCAGAAAAATGGAATATAAATTAACAACCACATATTTATTTATACATTCATTTCTGTTCTTTAATTCCTTACCTTGCATTCTTCTCTCTCCTCAGCGTGCATCCAAATCGGTTTGTTTTCATCTATGTAAAAGTAAAATATTGAATTGTGAAATAAAATTACCACCATTCCAGAATAATGATTAAGGAAACATTTTATAACTACAGTTGTGCTCATACGTTTGCATACCCTGGCAGAATTTATGATTTCTTGGCCATTTTTCAGAGAATATGAATGATAACACAAAAACTTTTCTTTCACTCATGGTTAGTGTTTGGCTGAAGCCATTTATTTGGGTAGTTTCTGTGTCATTATGATTGAAAAAGAATAAACACAGTTGATTGATAATAAATGGCTTCAGCCAAACACTAATCACGAGCGAAAGAAAGGTTTTCATGTTATCATTCATATTCTCTGAAAAATGGCCAGGAAATTATAAATTCTGTCAGGGTATGTAAAGTTATGAGCACAACTGTATATAGAGAAATCTATCCTAGACTCTTCTAGTTTCTAAAACATGTTGGTCAGTGTTAACTAGTAGCTCTTACTTCTATTGTTGTAAAGATTACCCAATTCTATCTTTTTTAAAATAAGGTAAATGCCACAGAAAGTTATCTCATCCCATTGTGTCAAAATGCATCTATCTTCCTAGACATTGTGAAAAAAGGACCTATTTGTGCTATTTAAAGTAGCTTTGATCTCAACCAGCCTTCAAATAACACGTTGAGAGAACACTGCTGTCTGCTAAAGCATTACAAAGTTTTTCATTGATCACAGTATTTCTGACAATTTATGCATCCTTGTTAACATAACTGATTTAATGCAATGAAGCCACTACACTGAAATTACTATATACAATCTGTATTTCTTGTGTGAAACAACACTCAGCTGACTTATTTTTTTAGTACTATATTTTACTACACTGGGCAGAATTCTATTACTTATGAAAAGGGGTCTAAAAGCAGACAGATAATTGTAACCAATGTCATTTTAATGTTTTGCTTTTAAAAATGCTTCTTCCATCCCTTATTCATTATGTACTGAAATAACTGATGACCTGCTGAGTCATCATTTTAGAGCTGTTTCCTTATCAGATTCCTCATGCATTCAACAATGGCAGAGCTTCTAATGTACTAGAAATGTTGTTAAAGCTTCAGGGAGATATTCAGAGATGTACCTGTCTCAAAAGTAGCCCATGTTGAACTGTAAAGCACAGTCAAACATGAGGAGTTGACCGCAGAATATGTTTTAAGACATTTTGTATTATGTTTTATAATACAAATAAAATAAAACATAAAATGTTTTATAAAATTCACCAAACTTCGGTTCTACAAGAGTCATGGCTCCTGGATTTTTGAACGCATTCTGTTAAGTTAGCCCATTTGAGATATCTTGGTTGAAAATTTTTTGCTCTATGATGCACTGTTATGCCCAGCTAATGGTTGCAGACCTAAGAGTTTTAGGGGGGGGGGGGGGGGGCGCACACACGCCCAACGGGGGGGGGAATTTCTCTCAATTTAAAAGGGGGTGGGGTGGGTTGGGCATACCTCAAGTACAATTTGAAATATGTATCACTTGAAATGATCAGATCTGCAGAACTAATATAGGACTAATCCTTAATATAAGATTTTCTAAAATTTATATTATTTTTAAAAATGTAACATGCATGCACCATATCGTTTGGAAAATAATATCCGTGTCTAACATTTTTTCATAATACAAACATTTACCATCCACGGAGCCAAATTCTCTTTCATGGGCACGAGTAAGAATCTCTTTGTACAAAGTTTCTGCTTGCTTAAATTTCCCTTGTTTCAAATAGCAGGATGCCTGAAGAGAGAAACCATTACTTTAGCATGTTTTAAATTTAAATATCAGTATTAGCACTTGTGAAAGCATTTGTAGGACAAGCCAGCAGCTAAGGTCAGTTTCACATTTTCAGCAAATGAGAGACACAATGGCTTGCTTCTCTGCTTTTTATTCTATTATACAAACATACCAAATTATTCTTTGTTTTTGCTACATTTGGATCATCTGGCCCCAGTTTTGTTTGGTAGATCTCAAGTGCCCGCTGATAGTAGTATTCTACTTCTTCATATTTGCCCTGGTTCTGACATAGTAATGCCAGATTATTTAACTGTTTGGCAACATCTGGATGGTCTTTTCCCAGCACCTAGAAATAAAGAGGAATTCCACATTAATTCTTTTCTTTCTCAGATACAGCTAATATCTATTTGATTGGGGTGTGGAGATAATCTTTATCTATTCTTTTGTCAGTGGACCTACGTACAGTATTCATTTTTTATCAATTGATGGCTGATTGAATTGCTGCTATCACATTTACTCAATGGTGGGCTGCTGCTGGTTCAGACTGGTTTGGGTGAACTGGTAGTTCCAACGATCAGCTGTCCCCGCCTACCCGCCCCATTCTGTCCTATATTTCCTTCTTTCTGGCTCAGCTGATTCATGAGGCACAGCTGACTTCCATGCCTTCACTGTTCTACTTGCTGGGGCTGCCTTAGAAGGTAAGCAAATTGCTGTATTTTGAACACTGCGCGCAAGCCAGAGGTGGTATTCAGCCAGTTTGCACCGGTTCATGCGAACCATTGGCGGAAATATGGCCAAGGTCACCGAACCGGTAGCGATGGCCAGCTGGCCATGCCCCCAAACTGGTCCTCCGGTCGCCACTCGCTCGTCCCACCAGACATGTCCGTTGCCAAGTTCTTCGCGCACGTGCATTGCAAGTCCAATGGGATCCACATATGCAAAGAACATGGTGGCAACGGCAGCAGCTTTTTCCACGACCTCTGGTACGTTTCAGCGGCCTGCAGCCAGGGGAGGCTTCTTTGCCAGCCGCTTTCCAGCAGCGGCGGCTGGGAAGCCGCCAAAAACTCTGGTCAGCTTGCCTTCCGGACTCTGGACCAGCCACCGTGGAAAGTAAGCAGCCCGAACAAAAAGTGGGGCTAGGGCTGGGGCCGCTAAAGGAGGAGAAAAGGGGGTGACTGGCGAAGGGAGGGCAGGGATAAATAGGTGGAAATTCCAAAAATTCTCCTACCTTTTCCTGTGGGTGTGGCTAGATGGGGAGTCATGTGACTGAGTGGGCTTGGCCACTCACGCCCACTCAGTCACATGCTCCCTAGCCACGCCCACTGAATCGGTAGCAAAAATTTTTGAAACCCACCACTGGCGCAAGCGTATTAGGTGTGTGTGCACGTGCATAACGCGCGCTCACAGAACCAGTTGTTAAACCGGTTGCAGCCCATCACTGCATTTATTTCTCTAGTTTTTCTTACTGATATCCTTATAATGAATGTATTACAATGAATTTTATGTTTCTCAAATTAACCATTTAATTATATCCCAAGCCCAAAATTTATCAATCAGCATTAGCAGGATTCATTTACGTGCAATGCAGATTTTAAGAAAATATTCTGGTTCATGATTTTCATATTAAAATGCTTAAAGTTTTCAGATTTAACTTTATAGAATTGCTTACAGTTAAACAAGTGTGGAAAGGTCTAATAAGCAGTGCCTTTGCTTGGAAGTTTTGTATAATGGTATGTGGGGAAGACCTTTGAAGATGGAGCGAAGAAATGCTGTGTGGGAATAAACAAATAAGAGAAGGCATAGCTCACAGCTGGACAGTGGGTAGAGCAAGAGGCTCATAAGGACCCTCCCTAGTTTTTCAGTTTGTAAAGGAAACGACAGATTTGTACTTTCAGATTTGCAAGGTTCTATTAATGTAGCTTTACAATAAAGTACAATTATGGTCATGTTTCCTGTCTGGTCTACCTGGTAAGGCTGATATTTTGGATGGGAAAAGAAAGTACCATGAATGATTCTTCCATTGACTCTATTTTCAAAAATATATTGGAAGGCCAAAGCAAATTTTCTAGCACAATTATGGGTTGTTTGGAAAATACTACCTTCCATAGAATACATAAGAGTAAATAACTATACTTAGTCCTTGACTTTACGACAATTGAGCCCAAAATTTCTGTTGCTAAGTGAAACAGTTGTTAAATGAATTTTGCCCCATTTTACAACCTTTCTTGCCACAGTTGTTACGTGAAGTTGTTAAGGTAGTAACATAGTTGTTAAGGTAGTAACTTTGCTTGTCAGAAGGTTACAAAAGGTAATTACATGACCCCAGGCTACTACAACTGTCATAAATGAGTCAGCTGCCAAGTGTCTGAATTTTGATCACATGACAATGGGAATGCTGCAACGGCTGTAAGTGTGAAAAATGGTCATGAGTCACTTTTTTCACTGCCATTGTAACTTTGAACAGTCACCAAATGAACTGTTGTAAATCGAGGCCTACCTGTAGTCTCTGAAGGATTTAATCTAGTATATTTTCAGTAAACAAAAGGCTGGGCAATTAAATTGTTGTGATATGCCAATCATATTAATCTACCACGCACACATATAAAGCATTGAAATTTCCTGGTTATGTAACTTCATATTTCTTCAGACTTTCTTCTCATTTATTTATACCTTCCAACTTCATTAATTTCTTTATTCCATCATGTTTATAGAAAAAGCTCTGCAGGAAAATATCTTCAGGCTACTTCAGTTGACTCCTAGCTGCAGTTCAGCAGATTGAATCTCACCGGCTCAAGGTTGACTCAGCCTTCCATTCTTCCGAGGTGGGTAAAATGAGGACCCAGATTGTGGGGGACAATATGGTGACTCTGTAAACCACTTAAAGAGGGCTGTAAAAGCACTATGAAGCGGTATATAAGTCTAAATGCTATTGCTATTGCTATCTTTGTCCCTTATTATCTCTGTCCCCTGTTGCTCAACTTCCCAGCCTCCATCATGGTATTCTTACTGCTTTCTTCAGAATCCCCTTTTGCTCTCATGCTCTCAGATTTTAGCTAGCAAAGTGAGAACACTCCCCAATCTTTTTCTTTTTAAATTAGAAATTCTGTGATTAAGGAAGTTTCCCTTAGAATGAAAAAAAATGTCATATGATAAATATGCTTAAAACATTCATGTAACAACTATTTAAAAAATGTTTTGGCTGTTTTTTTCCCCTGTTGCATGTGCTAATGCTTTCACTGGGGGTTGGGTTTTTTTGGTATGTAGATTAGCTTATGAAACTACTTGTAAAAGGGTCTATACAATATTCCTTATTAATAATAATTAATAATAGTCCTTGTCCTATTACAAATATTTTAATGTTCTATAGTAACAAATTGCAATATATCCATATTACACCAAATATTTATAACAAAAAAAAAAAATCCTAACTGCATGGTTTTCTTCTTTAGCCTGCATGCATCTAGGGTAATCCTCAATTTAAAATTGGTTGCTTAGCAACTTTTAAATTCTGACGGACCTCTCCAGAGTATCCTCCAGGATACTTACAACCCATTTCTAAAGTTCCAACAGCCGCCCCCTCACAGTCACATTTTAGGCACTTGGGAACTGGCCTACATGGCAGTTTGCGGAATCCTGTAGTCATATAACAACATTTTATGATATTTTTGCCAAAAACCTGCCTTTCTGCAAATTATTATAGAATTTGTTTGGCAAAACTGGACCATAGCAAATAGTTGGTTCACTTAACAACCACCATCAACAAAAAAAAGTTGCAAAATCTGATCAATCATGTGGATAACCTGCTTTATGACTTTCATAACTTACAAACATAATGGGCAGCTCCATTTTAGTTGTAAGTTGAGGACTACCTGTACTGCCAATATTATATTTGTAACAAAAATAACCGAGGGCAATATTTTAAATGTAATGGTATTCTGATTTTTATTAATATTTGTTTATTGAATTCTAAACTAATTTTACTGGCTTCATTTGTAATTATTGTATTGTTTGTTAAAAGTATGTGGCAAGTTGTTATTATTATTACAATTTTAGGAGGGGTTTTTTTTTGGTATATCACACAAAACTAAATAAATGTTACCTTTTCTCTGATTTCCAAAGCTCTCTTACATAAAGGTTCAGCTTCCTTGTATTTTCCTCTTTTCCCATAAAGTACAGCAAGATTATTTAAAGTTGCTGCAACCTGCAAGAAAAGCCAAACACTAGATCAACTACTACACCTGCTGAAATGATTTTTAAGTTAAATAGCTCACATATTATATTTTAGTATACATCAAATGTATTCAGTTTTTTGAATTGTTTATTCAAGAAATACAATTATAGACAATATCTGTTTCAGCAGAGGATACTGTACATTTGATAATATATGAAGAAAGTAATTTAAATAAATAGAGCTAAAAAGATTTGTATTCAGTTATTACAAATTCAAAAGAACTGAAGGTCCTCTAACTTCAATTATGTTGAACAATAAACTTTAAAACCTTCCTTTAAATTTAACATTAAAATGAATTTTAAGGAAAAGAATTTGTGATAGGAAAAACAAAAATCTGCACTATATACAGACCGCGGGATGATCTTTGCCTAAGGTCTTTTCACGAATGGCCAGGGCATCATTCAGTAAATTTGCTGCATCTTTGTATTTATTCTGGTCCCTACATTGGGAAGAAATCATTAACATATAAATTTATAAATGCTTTATATAAACATTATATAAATATTCAACAGTTCACTTCAAAATATTGCATGTAGCTGTTAGTGAAGCTAACACTGAAGCTAAACCTTTACTATAGGACTTTGCAGAACCATCATAAGCATTTGTAAAGACAATACTAAAATAAAAGTGAATCCAGTCCTTGGGTTTAACTACCAGACATATCTGAGATAAAACTATGTATTACTTAGCCTTGTGTAAACCTACAAAAATAAGAGGATTTTTTTAAAAAGTTAACAGTTATGTGTCCTGGAATAGTAGGGTTAATAAGACTTGTAAATATAAAATTCTAGCTTCCAGGTTGAATAGCTCAGTTAGTGGTGGGGGAGGGGAGAAATCTTGCAGGCTACTGAGGAGTGGGAAGACATCTTTTTTCAGCAGTTCAGTTAACAAAACACATCTCAAGGGAGAACATGTCAGACTCTGTCACACCAGACCCCAGACAGCCCAAGCACCTCTAGGCTAAATTACTTTTAACACAATAAATTGGACTTTCTAGTTCAGATGCCTGGAGAATGACACAAATAAGGATCACTATCTATCAGCTAAAATTAGCCAGTGCTAACTATCAAAGAGATGAGCAGTCTGGGCATAGAAAAAGATGAGGTGGCAAGAATATAGCTAATCTTTTTCTGGGTTTGAGGAGACAATATGTTAATTATAGCAGAGTCTGTGTCTAATCCTATTTATTTTAATGAGGCTTAGTCCCAGATAGGCTGACACTGTATAAGATTGCTATGTTTAATGACATTGTAGGTAGTTATTCTGTCTGCATGTGTGAACATCTTCATAGTGACAGGCCTCTGAGTTCAGAATTCTGCCACATAGTCTTGTGACACTATAAAATGAAATCCTGTGAATAAAACTGCCATCCTGAATTGATTACCTGGTTATCAACCTAATAGCTTGATAAAAAAGTTTGGCTTTCTTAAAGCAAGCTCTAGAAAGGGAAATAGAAGGTTAATGGAAGGGGTCTATAACTCTAGTTTTGATTGAGGTAACCTACAGAACCATCTCCTCCAAGCAGAATTTGCCAGTCTTGTTGAATCAGCCCACAAGCAGAAACTTCAAATCCCCTTTCATTTGGAGCTTGGGGATGAAACATGGTGGCCCTGCCTCTCTAGACCAATTTACCCACACGTAACATTTTGTAAAACAGTAAAAACCTGGCTTTTCCTGTTAGCATTTGGGCTTGGTGTGTTGAATGTTTTTAACTGTCTTATAAATAAAACATTGCATTTGCAGCATCAGTACATTCTAAACATGTAATATTTTTCAACTATATTCTTAACCTTACTAACCTGTATACTAATGCAAGTATGTTCAACATAGTGGCGACATCAGGGTGATCGTGGCCTGAAGTTTTTTCAAGGTCTTCGAGAGCTTGCTTACAAAGTGGTACAGCAACCTCATATCTACCTTGGGACGCATATTGAATGACAAGATTATGAAGGGTCCTTAATCTTGCTGGAATCTCATAACCACCTTGTTGGGCAGCTGCTGCTGCACTGCTATGTGGCTGTTGAACTGGAAATAAAATAATCAGAATAAGCCCATTAAATTCTGAGGCAAGGTTAGTTTCCAATCTCCTGGAAGCTCATAAAAATTTGAGTGTTCCAAAAGGACTTTGAGACTTGACAGCTATAAATTTCTCAATGCAAGTATACTATATTCATTACAATTTCACCCATCATTTTATATTTTACTGTATGATATGATATTAATATTATGACAATAGCTGCAACTGTTGATTTTATATACTATTTAAAGTAGCCTTGGCCGAACTAACAGTACTTCATTATAAACCAACCAATCAACCATTAATATAGTTGAACTGGTCTTCATTAGTAGCATATACACTAATGTTTTACCTATAAAATATTGTATACCTATTACGCTTAATAATATGACATGCTACTGTTTGAGATTACATCTTTTTGGACACGTTCTGTAAACAAAGTTAAAGTACTTCCATACCTCTTTTCTCTTCAAATTACCTGGTTTTTAGAAAAATGTAGTTCAGCTCATAAAAGGAAGAAATGTTAGGGACCTATTCAATAGTAATTGTTAGACAATGTAACTGGGCGGTGGATGGGGGGAACCAAGAGTTCTCCGCAATTTCAAATTTTGGGTGGAGGCTAAGAAATTGGGTTTCAGAAATGAAAACAGATTCAGGGTGTAGTCTGGTAAGTCTAGTAAAATTAATTACAACTATAACTTACTTCCTTGTCCTTGGTCATCTTCATCATTGGGGAATAAATCATCCAATGGCTCTTTGGCAGAATCTGCGTCTTTGTCCTCCTAAAATGTATCCCGAATATTCAGACTATTAAAATTACTAAATCAAAATATATTCTTTTTTACTTTGGTTTGCACATTGTTTTAATTCTGAGGGGTCCTTGCTTCTCTCTGAGCTTGTTTGTTTTCTTTCAGACGTTTTATTATCTTAACTAGGTAACAACATCAATGCTGGTAAGGAGTGCTGTTTGCTGTCAGTTTATATTCTAGTGACTTGCCTGTCTGTGTGGGTGGGGGTGGTTTTAGAGATTCTTTGGTTGGGTTATTTACTGATGGCTCTTTGGCAGTTTCTTGATTGGGGTATTGCTTACTTGATTGTTGGTCTGAAATTAACCTTGGAGTTAATCTGTGCTGATCTGAGTGCTGATTACTGCTGATTACACCAGTAATCAGCACTCAGATCAGCACAGATTAACTCCAAGATTAACAGTCAGATCAACAATCAAGTAGGCAATCAGTAAACAGCCCAATCAAAGAATCTCTAAGACCACCCCCACCCATAGAGATAGGCAAGCCCCCAGAATATAAACTGACAGCAAACAGCACTCCTTACTAGCACTGAAGATGTTACATACCATAGTTTGGGTAATGAAACATCTGCAAGAAGATAAGCAAGCTCAGAGAGCACGAAGGACCAGCATTTTATCCCTGAGCTACAAATATTCTCCTTTATTGTTTTAATTCCATTGTTTTTGTTTTTATTTTGAAAATGTAATCACCAAGAGTTGTTAGATTGTGGTGAGATAAAAATCAAATCAAATCAATAAAATGTATAGCACATATAGCATACTTAGATTAGAAGGTGCATTTGGAAAAGTAGGAATTAACTGGTTTTAGAGATACAAATTTACTGCTTTAATTCCTAGCCTGTCCCATATTTATGTCCTTTGGCTTCCAAGTAAATACTGGACTCAAAAGAGACTGCATTATAAAAATATTATAAAATTACACATTTTATGGAATTCAATATGTATGCAAGATTGACATCATGTACAAAGATCATGCAGTCTTTGTCAATACTTACAGATATTAAAGATATTAAATCTGCTTTAAAAATTCTAAATATTTTCAGAGTAACATTCATTCACAGAATGGAATTTAATTTATTTGAAGCTACTTACTGAAGGTGATATATCATCATCGTATTTTTTTAACTGATTCATGAATTCAAGGTGCTTCTTTTCTTCTTCCAGTTGAGCCACAGACTGTTCACTTTTTTGTAATTTCTGCTGGGTATTAGCAAGTTCATCTCTTAGCCACTGGTTTTCTTGACATAGCCTACGAACTTGGGCACGTAATTTCTGCTTCTCTGATTCTACAGCATTTAGATGATTTGACAAAGCCATCATCACCTAGAACGCACCAAAAATTGTTATTTGTTTGATTCAGGATTCTAGCAGCTAAATGTTTTGTAAAGCAATGAGGAAATGGACATTGATTAGATAAATGGACAGATGATAGATAACTAGAGAGAGATATACAATATCCACCAACCAATAAATTAAAGAGTTGACTTCATTAAAAACAAAACATGGGAATCCATGACATAGGAAACAAAGCATAAGCACTAAGAAGAATAAAAATGCCTTAAAGTCTAAAACATTTATAAGACATTTATTATTGTGTATATGACATTTATCAGAGGGCAGTGAAAGCAGGATATTAAAAATAGATGATTTATGATAAAAGTGATAACTTTAATAAAAATACTTTAAGAATAATATATTAAATTTCTACCTATTGAATAATAGTCTACTGTATGAAGTTGACATGTCAAAACTCTAGAAACATGAGTCTGTGTTATATGTAAGTATGTATAAGTAAAGCTGTTTACTGATTAGTGACAAATAAGATATGGCAAAAAATAAAACCTACATGCAATGTGGGAAACCTAAAACAACAAAATAAATTGTAAATTAATAAAATCAGAAAATAAAGAAAGTAGTTTCCTTCATAGGAATGTCAACTTATTTTTTAAATTCTCCTAGTGATGTTAAAAGAGTTTTGGCCTGACACCAAGGAACAAATAAGACTGTCCTAAAGACAGATGAAAACGGTGTATATTATTGTAAAAACGGCATTGAAAAACAGCATGTGTGCTGAAGTCATAGTTTTATCCAAAGCACAGAGCCAAGTTATACATTGATCATATATAAACATATTTATTGAATTAAAATTCCAATTTTCCACCTTGATTTTGAATATCAGAGATTAAATAAGGCTATTTTCATTCATTTTATTTACCTGAGCTTCACTTAGACCCAATTCTAGCATTTCCAAAGACTTCCGAATCATATTTGATTTTTCTTCCACCAGATTGGTCTCGTCATCTTTCTTCAAACATTTTAGTGTCTCAAGTAAACTCTGTAAGATGGAATTGTGCTCATTCTTCAAGGCTTCTAGGCCTTGAATAACTTGTTTAGTCTTGGAAATAATCTCATCCTGAGTGAGCTTTTCCAATTTGTCTTCTTTTAGATACACCATTGTGGACATGTTGTCATACATTCTAGGAAAAAAAAGTTCAAGAGATATTATTTAAATACCATCCAAGTACATTGTTTCAATATTAAAGTTTTAGCTCACATACCATAATGCAATTTATTTACTAATAATTATGCCCAATAGCATTTATTTTCTGGAAACGATATGTAGAGTTCATCTTCCCTCCCTTAAACTCAGAGAAGAGAGGTTGTTGTTATATTATGTCATGTCCTTATGTAAGAAGCTTCACATGACTTTCATGCCTCTTGGGGATGGGAAAGTTTCTCTATTTTCATACAATGTACATCCTATGTGATTTTTGTGTTTGCTTATTCTGTGAAACCAAATAGTTTATGGCATTGTATATTAAAGGTAGACTGTATATAACATTCTGATAATTTCTAGATATCACCTGCTACAACCACTGAGCACCAGGTTATCTCTTAAAGCTAATAAAATATATAAGATCCTAAAACACATGAAAGGAAAAATTCATGAGTTCAATCCCTAGTAGAGAATTACAGAGATGTTACAGAATAATATCTAGCTACCTACATTTCACAAGCCCCAACTAAAATGATCCAATCATGTAATACCTGTTTATGGTGGTTGATATACAGTATTTCCTGCTTTCTAGCAAAGCTAAACTGCACTGCACAGCCAATCCCCCCCCCCGCTGTTCTACTTACCTTCTGAAGCCTTCTTTTGGTGTGTGTTGTGCCTGCACGCAAGTGCAATAAGCACCAGAAGGAAGCTTGGGAAGATAAGTAGAATAGCGAGGGGGGGGGGAATCAGCTGTGACGCATGATTTAGCTTTGCTAGAAAGCAGGATTTCCTACTTTCTAGCAAAGCTAAACCCCGCTGCACAGCTGATCGTCGGAAATACTTGTTCGGAGGAACCGGTAGCTTTTTAAACTGCCGGTAGTTAGCTTTTTTAACTACCGATTCGTCTGAACCTGAATGAACTGGTAGCATTTTATCCCTGATGGAGGCTATGTGAGAGGTGCAGGTTGGGGAGGATGTATGGAGGTGCACATGTGGCCAAAGTGAAGCAAATGCAGAGTGGCTGGGGAAGGGTGTACAGATGGAAAAGTCTTATTCAAGCATCTTGCAGTTTCCCTGCTGGCTTCCCCACTGACTTTCTGAGGAAGCCAGAAAAGAAATTGCAAATGGTGATCACATGATCATGGGGCACTTGGCATGCAGCCATATACTGTCTGAAATCCTTTCTTTTTTCTACTTTTCAGTGGAAAAAACAGGTAGAAGAAAGGCATATCAGCATCAACTATTAGAGTTAGCTCTATTCATTAAATACTTTTCTCAAGAGTCCAGACATAGGGAAATCAGTGGCTGTTCTGCCTGTCAATCCTGTCATAGCCATGCTTTGTTGCTCCTATTTCTTATTCAATTCTTTCCTTTTCACAGAGACTGGTTCACATCATACAGAATAAAAGAACTATACAGTAATTGTCATACTGCTAACATATGCTCTAAATCCCAGGTAACCTCATACATTTTCATGGAATTATGACTTTTTAAAATCAGAATTTTAGACTATCATTTGATACTCCTAGCATAAACCTCCATAATTTTCATAATTGGTACATCAATTATCAATTCGGTATTGAGAAATGCAATACAAACCATGTTCTCATAATATTTACTTCCTCAGTAAGCAGCCCTTTTTAACTTTTAAAAGATTTTGTCCTCCTAGGTTTTAAAGTTCTGGGTCCTAATTTATTTTAATTTTGTTGCTGCTTTTATTATAATTTATCTTGATTTGCTCATAAGTATCTATGTTATTGTTATATTTGACTGTAAACCCAAGAAATAAATTGGCTAAACAGCATGTTCAAATATACGAAATAAATTAATAAGCAAAAAACTCAACAACACTTCCTACCGTATCATGCCAAGTTACCAAACACTGGATGAAGCCTGTCATTCCCAAATCTGACCCAGGAAAGTACCGGGACCAGCAGATGAACCCAGCATGTAACTCCCCTCACTCCCAGAATCAATTAGGTTTATAAATATTTTTAAAATATTGAAACTTCAACATATCTATTACTTCTTCAATCAGTTTACCTTGACAAGTGTTAAAAATACCTAAACCAGAAGTTTCCAAACTTTCATCATTCACCATGATCAAGCTATGTATAGTGACAGCCCAGTTCACCAACAGTTCCATTTACTAAGCAGTAAAATATCCCTCAATGCTCTATGATTTTGCTGCAATGCCCCAGGGTATCGCAGCATTCTGCTTGAGAACAGCTTCTATGTTTGATAATTCTCCACATTTTTCAGGACAAGAACTTTTCTCATTACTTCCTTTCTTGTTTTCTATTTTTAACTACTGCCTTTTTTCATGTACTATTAACAAACCAGATACCATCCAGATGATTTGGTCCTACTGGCTGGGATGAAAAGGCTGAAATCCAAAGTACCTGGACTTCGCTTTAAAAATCTAATATTGAGAAACGTTTTTACTTATTTATCAAACTTGTAGGCTGCCCATCTCACTGAAGGCAATTTTTTAAAAAACTTGTTTTACTTTAGAGTAGATAAGAAATTAAATCTGGAAATACCAATTCATTTTTTTAATTTATTCTTTGTAAAAGCATCATTTCTGTACATATAATACATGAATACATACCTAGACACCAAATATCATTGGCAAAGAAATTATGAGTCTCCTTGGTATTATTCTGCAATAAGTTCTATATTCTTTTTTTTTTCTGGACAACTACAGGTAGACCTCGCTTACCGACTAACTCATTCAGGAACAGTTCAATGTAAGACGGTGATGAAAAAATAACTTTACAACCAATGGCCGTGTTTATAACCTTCTCAGTGTCTCTCAGTCATATGATCACCATTATAGTCAATATACATTGTCCTTTGACTGATCCGTTGTTCCCCCCCATCCTCCACTAGAAATTGGAGAGGAAGGGATTATAAGAAGAGACCCAAAGGGGAATAGAGTAGTTGTTTGCCTAGCGCAGTTGGGACTGCTGGCTTCACCGCATTCCTTCCAATGTGCATTCCTCCATTGTGTACCTGCTTACTCTCTTATAATCACTTCTTCTCCAATTAATTATAAACATTAATTTCTTACTGCTAATTATCCCATCACTGGAGAGAGCACTCCAAAGAGAGGTGGAGTGGGGGAAAGGAAACCTGAAGTAAAATCATTAGGAGGCAAAAGTCAGAGATGTTAAATTGATTACAGTAGTTTTGTCAGTTATGGGCAGCTGCTGCAAGCTTGCTATTATGGCAGCACAGTGAGCATTCCACAGGGCAGGGAAATGGGTAAAAAGAAAGCAGTCCCATGATTTCCTACATAGCAACCACTTTGCTTAACAATAGACAGCTGGTTCCAACTGGAGTCAATAAAGAAGAACTGAAGGTAGTAGATTTATAAAAAATATAAAAAAGCAAATCACTATGCTAATTCATGTATTGATCACTATTTTTCAACAGTTGTCATAGATAAAACATTATACAGTTAGCTTTAATGTTCTAAACAGATTAACTTACTGAACTAACATGCACTGAGAAATGTAGATATTTCATGCTTTTGAAATATCATGTTCATCAGATATCAACAAATATCATGTTTGACACTAAGGCAGAAGTCCATGCTTTTTCAGGATGGAGTCCACAGTAGGTCTTTTGAGTTATTCTAAAAATCAAAAGCAGGATGTTCCCTTAAAATTACATTTAATTTGGCATGAAGCATTGAGGCCCCCAGTTGTCCCAACTCTACATACCATAAATTGTTTACAAACTGAAATAGCTGGTTTGATAAATATATGGCTAAAACCCAATTTTATAGTTTAGAGTGATGTGCACATCCAATTCATTCAAATACTACTAAACTGAGATCAAAGTCTTCATACTGTTTACTTTAGAGTATGTGGCCTGTTTAAATCAAATTTCCCTTTAAATCACACTTTCTTGCAGAATGTAATCCCAGTTTACGCTATATGATGATCTCAGATACTGGCTGGTAAATGAAGATTAAACTAATTTCCCAATTATAAACTGATTCACAATCTGTGCATGACCTCATCATTTAAGAAATGGAGATAGTGAAGTAAGGAAGCAAGAGATGCTTCTTTTAGTTTAATTGAGGATTATTATGCATGAAACAGACTCTTGTGCAAAATCAAGTAATTCCCAATAATGTCAAATTTGCAGTATTCCCATGAAAGTGAAAGAGAAAATTCCTGCAGACTCCTTTCAGAATTAGATAGTTCTGGTTATTTTCTGAAAGCCCACTTCAGATTATTTTGGCAGTTTAGCATAGCTATTCTTGTGAAACCTCTCTTTCCTAAACATTCTTGATTGCTCAAATTGACTTTGGGGCTGTTGGCAAATAAGTTAACTGAAGTCTGAATACAGATATCACTTCCTACACAAAACTCACAGAGAAATATACTTTTACAGGACATTTTAAAAACTTCTTACAGAAACCTTCATCATGTCATGAAGAACTAAGTCTGAATTACACTAACATTATCCAAATTAGGCACAATTTAAGTAGCAGTGGGCAATGGTTTTAGGTTGAAGCCACATTCAAACTTCAGTAATATGCTAAGAACTATACCCTAAAAGTAAAGGTAACGAAAAATTAAGATGTGATAAAAGAGGAAAATGACCACAATGAAAGAGAAAGTGAACAAGGACAAGTCTATGGACAACCAAATGTTTCCAAAAAGACTATTCTGAAATTTTTTTCAGACAGGGTAACATACAATCTTCCATTTCTACAGAAAAGGTTATTCTTCTCACTTCTAGCCCATCACAATCAAAAAACTATTAGCAATTTATCCAAATCAAATAAAATATATATGGTGCAAGCGTCCATAAAAAAGACAAAAAACACCAATTATAAAAACACAAGTAATAAAATAAATGTGAAAGATGGCATTCTAAAATCAGAGAAAGGCTCTTGGAAACAACTCCAGCTTTAGAAGCTTCTAAATAACTTCATCTTTAGAAGAAGAGAGCTAAGCTGATCTCTTCTGAGAGGCTGCTTGGTAGGGTTGGCATTGTTATTGAAAAGCAATGCCTCCTCACCTCAGCTCCCCAAACTTCCTAAAAATATGAGATCAATAAGTTTCTCCCTGTTGAATCTGATGAAATTATTCTAAATCACACAGTTGTACACAACCAAAAACAAATTTGTCAAGCAATAAACCTGATTAGATCTAAAACAATGCAATTTAAGAAATAGATTATTTTCAAATACATGAAAGATGAAGTCTGTCAAAATTATATAATGTTGCAATTGGCAACATGTATAGAATTCTTTTTAGAATAGAATAAATAGAATTCTTTATTGGCCAAGTGTGATTGGAAATACAAGGAATTTGTCTTTGGTGCATATGCTCTCAGTGTACATAAAAAGACAATATCAATATAAATCGTAAGGATACAAGCAACAAAGTTACAGTCATGCAGTCATAAGTGGGAGGATATGGGTGATAGGAACGGTGAGAAGACTAATAGTAATCGTAATGCAGACTTAGTGAATTTTATGTATTTAATACATTTAAATACATTTAAAGTATTTCAGAAGCATTAATAGAAGGCCTTCTCCATGGTAGCTTCCTCCCTATGGAACATCATCCCTGCAGAGATAAGATTGGTCCCCACTTTGACACTCTTTTGTAAGGCCCTGAAGATCTGGTTTTCCAATGGGCCTGGGGACCCAAGAGTTGGATGGAGCTCATCAAATGGCTTATTTGACTGTTGTTGCCAGAGGGACTAGGGATTATTGCTTTTTTATTGTTTTTTATTTTATTTTATTGTTTTTTATATTGGGTTTTTATTCTTGTAAACTGCATAGAGTGAGAGTGAGTTGGGCAGCCATATAAATTTTCTTAAATAAATTCAGACTTGTAAAGTCCTCAATTTACAACAGTTTGTTTAGTGACTGTTTGAAGTTACAACAGTCGAAAAACAACGGACTGATGACCATTTTTCACACATATAACCGTTGCAGCATCCCATGGTCATGTCATAGTCATGATCAAAATTCAGATGCTTGGCAACTGACTCATATTTATGACAGTTGCAGTTATCCTGAGGTCACCTATTGCAACCTTCTGACAAGCAAAATCAATGGGGAAGCCAAATTCACTTAATAACCGTGTTATTAACTTAAATGCAGTGATTCACTTAACAACTGTGGCAAGAAAGATCGTAAAATGAGGCAAAATTCAGTTAACAAATGTCTCGCTTAGCAATATAAATTTTGGGCTCAACTGTGATCGTAAGTCTAGGATTATCTATATAGCCAGTATTAAATATTAATATTTAACAAAAATATTATAAGGGTGAAAAGAAGCTGTTTACAAAGTAGCTTTAAATGTTACAATTCTAATCTTTATAATACATTAGCTGCAATTTTTGTCTAGTTATAATTTTTCCAGCTTTTTAATTAAAACGGCTTATTTATATTACCTATAATACAAGTTTACAGTACTTTCCAAGAAAGGCTAGAATGTTTATTACATAATTTGAAAATAGTGAAAGGGGAAAAATTACTTTCCAATGAATCACTGGCTGTGCAACAATTTTTAAGGTTGTTTAAATAAAGCAACTAAAACAAATCCGTATTTTCTATGATCAAACATCTATTTCCACATCAGTAATCAAACACAGAAAATAAGCTGGTAATAATTTTTCTAAAATATTTCATTACCCAAATTCCTCTACGTATTATCAAGCTTATAAACACTTCATCCTCTTAAGAACGATCTAAAGCAAAAAGATTTTAATTTATATAGGTTCTAAAAATTGAATATCAATTTCCCTTTTTCCTCCCTTCAAAAAAGGATTGAAACAGCTCTTTCAGATAGTTTTGATTTCTATTGCTTTATGCGCTGAGCTACTCATTCTTATCATTAAAATAATCCTGAAATATATATGAACCATGTTGTCACATTGTATATACTGAGATTTAAAATTAAAATGTGGATATCAAAGCATGGCTTTGAAGCAGATCAAAGAAATGGAGCCAGAAGAGTAACTGCGCTAATCCACATGTCCAAAGGGAATTCAGCCTACAATAAGAAGCCAGACACTGCATTACAGGGTACAATCTAACATCCCAAGGGCACTGAGGGAAGTAAGAGAAATAAACAGATAAAATAAGAAACAAAAGGAAAGAGAAGTAGGTGCAGATTTGGTTAGATCCTTATGGGGAACTCCTTAAGTAGAAAATGAAAGCAAAATTTTTTAAAAAAAGCTTCTACTATACACACTAGTATATATTATATGTTGATCTTCATTTTATAAATCTCTTCATTAAAAAAAATGTTAGATACGTTCCATTTTCTTATTACATATTTAAAGGTTTAATTTGAAATTGCAAACATTAGAAAAACTAATGACCTAGTTTTTCTTAGCCTTCTTATTCTAAACCATATTTCATTTACTTTCCGCTTTAAAAAAGCCACAAGTACAATATGATTGTTAAAATATTAATATTTTACAGTTGATCTTTTTATTTTCATATTTTCATATGCGACCTTCATTTAGCAATTTCAAAAATGCCATATTAATTCTATATATCAATCCTATTATCAGGCGCATGGAAGATAGATTACTGCAATATAATATAGAAATGTTATTCAATCCTGACTTCCTAAAATTGATTGCAATAAATTTTGGCATATAAACTTTGCTAAATTGGTATGCATTAGAGCCACACTATTCCAAGCTTCAAGCCTGATATCATCTCATATTTTTCCTGGTCAGCAATTTGCTTGCTTCAATACAGTTACTGGTTTATAAACACATTAGGGCTTTGCCTAATGAATCTGTTTGACCTTTACTGTTCATGATTCTCCTTTTTATCATTCCAAGACTTATAACTCAGTTTTTAATTGTTACCAGACTTGTTTTGGAAATTTGTAGAAAAAGATATTTTCTATAATATTGCGTTATTTAAATTTATTCGGAAAACATTTATACTTTTATTATTTATTTAATAAACGGTTTCATAATTAGCTCACAAAAACATACTTAATTCCATTTATAACTTATTTGTATAAATGCCTACTTAGAATATTAACTGCCAAATTCAACATGGTTTACTCACAGGTAAACAGATACAAGAATGGAATCTGAGTTTAATTTTTACTTTATGTTGGTATCATGCAGTTGAGTTTGACTTACGCTACAGCCTTCCTAAATTTCATTAAATTTCTCCACCCAAACTATTCCATATTGCAAAAGGGAATAAATACTTCCAGACAGTCCTTTAAAACTCATATATCAGTAGCCTAAACCAAAAGGCGCAGCTTTGTTTTAGCTATTAAAAATTTAGCTCTATAAATTATTAAATAAGCTGAAATCCTATCAAGACTATCCATTATAATGCATACAGATAATAAGCTTTGCTATTACATTTTTCCAATCCAAAATCTTCTAGCTATAAAAAGCCTTTTGGGGGGAAAAAAAACCTTATGGCTCTGACTACAAACTCAAAACACAGAAAAATGGAAAACAGAACTATCGTTTTTCTGATTTCATTTCAGGAAAAAGCAAACATACATACAAACCCCAGAAATATCCATCTATTGAAGAAAACAAAGGTAAAGTATAGAATGTAAAAAAAACCAATTATCCAATAAAAAGATGACAGGAAAACAATGTTTTCATACTTTATATGATATACATTAAAAATCTACACACAAATCTATGTTATGTGAAGTTGTGAATGGTACACACACAAGCTTTTAATAACTTTAAAAATTGCAAAACCAACCTGAAGCTATTTTTTTTAATGCAGAAGAAAAATAGGCCAGCACTATACAGATCCGAACATCCGAAGGATCATACTTCATTATTCTATCGGATATCCCCATTCCTGGATGTTGTCAGGCCCCAAATTGCAACATAAAATTGTCAAAAGCAGGGGAAGGACAGTAAGCACAAGTGGGGGGAAGTGGGGGTGGTCAGAGAAACACATGCCCAATGAACGAACTATTTCCTTCCTCTTCAATCTCTCTTCCTCAATTACCTAATATATATTTTTTTCATTCTGAAGTGCAACATCAGCAGCAGAATAAGGATGGCCGTTGTCCTCAGAGATTAGTCCAGCACTTATAGACATCTAAATCAGCCTTTTCTTGTAGAATGAGAAATTGGCAACGGAAGACACTTTACACACAGAATTGCTATCAGCTTCCTAAATCCTCTGTGTCTGCAAATATTCGATCCAGACCTGATTTTTCTTCATCTTCTCGTCTGGAGAGATTCTCAGTCATCCAGGTCATGGTTGTCCCAAAGGTGCTTTTTCAGGAGGCAACTGGGCTTTCTTGGTTTTTTTTTTTTCTCTTTGATTTCCAGAGAAAAAATTGCAGACTACAGGAAACAAGAGCACTACTCAGGTGACCCTGAGGACACAGATAAACCTCCAAGTGCTTTAACGACCCTCTATAAAAGGATGCACATGACCAGCTGTCTGCAAGGAATATAAATCCTTCCATTCTCCACTATCCTGTCTGAGCTGAAGAAGCTTCTTGGATGAGAAGCGAAAACGTGTTCAAAGAAAAAACACACATACACACACACAAGAAAGTCCAGTTGGCTCTTGAAAAAAAAAAAAAGCACCTTTGGGGTCTTCATCTTCTCAGATGCTCCGCTCAACACGCCCCAAATGTGACATCCTTTTCTTCCATCACCCACCCATGAACCTATCCACTCCCACACAGGACCCGCTTCTCGTTTTCGGTGCCGCCGCTGGTGAGCACCACACTTTGTTCCTTCTCATCTACTCCCAATTCTACACGTACACACGGAGCTCTTCCTACAGCTGGCGCCCGCAGCTGCCACCGCCTCGGCCGCTTAGTCCGAAGAGCGATCAGCATTTTTTTTTTTTTTTTGATGGGCGGCAGGCAGGCCGCCGGGTTCCCTTGCTGGCGAAGAAAGGAAAAAGGATGCTGAGGAAAGCGGCGGGGACCCATGCAGATACTCACCCCTGCTCTGATTTCACCGCCCGGGTGGAAAGACCGGGCTGTCAATCACGGGGCGGGAGCGACCCCGGCACCGCCGTTGCCCACCTTACACCTCCGTTTTCTCACGGCCGGGAGACAAATTCTTCCCGGCTTCCCAAGCCTGACTGACCGGCCTTAGCCCCACCCCTCTCCTCTCCGAAAATGGCGGTCCCTCCCGGCCCACAATTCTGCGCGTGCCCACAGCCATGATGTCACTGGTTCCGAGAAGCAAGGATGCGAAGGGCGGACGGAGAGCTGGAAAAGTTAAAGAAGCGCGAGGGAGGAATACGAGAAGGCTTTCCCCACAAACACGCATGCGCCACGCTGCGGGCGGGGAGGAGAAGCCGGGGTTTAATTGTGGCCGATCGATATCGGTAATTGTGAGTGGCTCGCATTGTGATGGGACTCTCTAGGAGATGGTGGTGCCATCATTTCGTGAATGCCAGTGATGAAACGGGATGAGCGGGAGGGGAGGGGGGGGCGGTGGGATTGCCTCTTGAGTCAACAACCACCTCCAATGTGATGTCCGCCCCTCCCCTTAGGGTCCCAAGCCATTTGGCAGAGCCAGGACTTCAGCCTCCTGCGGAAGGGTGGGAGCCAATTTGACCTCAGGGGGTAATATGTTCCATAGGGCACATATTTACATTGTTACATAAATTTAGATCACCCAGTTGTTCTGGATCTCAATCCACTGCATTCAAATAACAAGAAGTACTGTATAGCCTCATGGAACAATGTGTGTGTGTGTGGAGGGGGGTGATGTATCTGCTATTTTCAAAGTGGGGGAAGAGAAGAAAAGAAAATGGTGAAAGGGGCACATAGAATGATGAGCAATAACTTCAAAACAGTAGTTGGGTGTGATAACATTTTTATACTGAGTGGGTTAATGTATTCAATCGGATGTATGACTAAACGAAAAACAAGAAGAATTTTTATCCTAGTACGCATGATGCCATCTTGATAATTTAGGAAAGATGTACAGTATTTTTCAGTTCTTCACCATTTCCTTATGAGAATATTCTTTCTCAGATCTCAAACCACTGTACATGCCTATTTAAATGAATTATGATCCATAAACATTTCAGGAATAAGGAATTGGTTAATCTTTATGGTGTTGCAAAGTTCTTTGCTGTTTTGTTGCCAACAACAGTACCATCCTCTAGAAAATATTTCTGAGATCTGAGATCCCAGGACTCCTTGTTCATTATTTTCTTCATTTTAACTCTCAAATTTCCAAATTCTTTTGAAGTTATTTTATCCTGGCAGACTACCTTTTTTCCCATTATGTTCTTGCAACACCAATGAAGCATTTTATGTCACATAAAACGTAGAGAAAGTGTACAATGTGTTTGAAAATAAATATTAATCTAGAAAGCTGTACATGTTTCTGTGTGTTTACAAATAATAAAAACATTCATTTTACTTAATAACTATTCGATTAAATATTTAAAACCATGCAGGTCAATATAATCCATGTGCTGGAGGATAGAAGCATTCCTGTTTCTATTCTCCTTACCTGTTTTTGAAGACAGCGCTCTTCAGAAAGAAAGAAAAGAAGTAGGAAAGTACAAAATGTTTGCCAGAAAAGCTGGATCTGAAAAGGAGATAGCAAAAGGTTGGTGCAGGTAACGGAGAGAAGGCAGCTGGGTGAAAATGCTTGCTGAACCTGTTCAAGAGCGAACAAATGCTTGCTGTTGCTTCCCAAGTCTTCACCATTGTAATTTTGGTGGCTGAAAACATGGTTATAAATGGAGCACTACCTGTAAACACTTACAGTAATATTTCTCTGGGAAGAAGATTATGATTGGCTTATGGGACCTGACTTTTGGTTGTATATAATTTGTATATATGATACATAAATTTTATCTATATATCCAAAAGTTTATATATACTTTTTCTCTCATGGAGATTCACCTCATGATATGTTTCTAAAATGCTAGTTATTTTACATATTATTTTAGACATTCCAATTGCTTGCCCTACATCTACCTTTTTATTAAATGATTTGTTGTCTTTAGATAACACCTGCCTACCAACCAAAGTGGTTGGCATTATAACTTACGAACTCCCTGAAAGTCATAAGGGAATATTTCACGGTTGCCTTGGAAGGTAACTTGGGATTATTTTAAAAAGAAAAGGATGGAACCAAAGAAGCACAAACATCGACACTAAATTGGATGATCTTACCTTTGGTTAAGTGGAAAAAATAAATAATAAAAGTCCAGTTTTTTATTTTATTTTAGAGAGCTTGGACAGTGGTGTGGATCAGAAAACATTTAGAAGTTAATAATGGAGACATAATATGACTAAGCAGATAATCATTTATTCTACTAAATTACCAATCAGCCTTATCTGGAACAAAATTTCTAGGAAGAAAAAAGGGCTCTGTAAATTTATATTAGATTGTGTGAACCATGTCAGTATCTACATAGAACTCCAAATATTCTCATACTACGCTTACTGTACCTTGCAGCTGCTTTTTACAGGTTTGTCAGCTATTTGCAAGAATACCTGGCTGACTCTTTAAGTGTAGGAAAAGTAAATAAAAGCATATCCCTCTGGGATGCCAGCATGTTTTGCTAGAGATTCCTCTATTAAAGAGGCTTATTTTGGAGCTATTAAAAGTTGATTTTAAAAATGCATTTCCTCTTTACCTCCTATATTCAACTGTAAAACATTAATATTACACTTCAGTTGTAGTGTACATCTAGAGTGTGGTCCCTTCAAGCCCATCTGTCCATTTCTTTTTGTCTTTTTAACATCTGTGTTGCTAACCTGAGTACTCAAAAGATTGCTATTGAGAGACATGAAGGTCATCTGTGTAATATTATACAGCAGATAGAAAAATGAAGCAGATACACCCAAAATCCACAAGATACGATTCAGCCTCATCTTCCTGTGTAAACGGCAAAGCCTTCAAAATCTTCCCATGTACAAGGCAAGCCTAACATTAAGTGGTTGATACTCTTTTCAGGGAATTATATTACACACATGCGCGCGCACATACTATATTCTCCTTGTCTTTTGTTCTCTTGTCCAGGTCTTTGTTATTTCTGTTCATTACAATTTGCTCACATTTGGTGGTGAATGCTGAAAATGAAATTCGAGAATACAACAGTTCTTATCAATAATTCAACAAATGAATCAATTAGGGGAGAGGGCAGGGAAATAAATTGTCACAGCAAAATATGAAGGAATTTGAGTTATGCTTTCAATCATACGCATAGCAAAAGCTCTGGCTAAAAAAGAAAATAATTAACTTGGCCCCCAAAACAGGAAAGAAATACTGACTCAAATTATTTGTCTTTCTAGGTAGTCCAAGAAAAATATTGGGTTCAGGAAATGACTGCTAGGTTTTGATATATTTTATTTAATATATTAGTATAATTAAGTATAATGAGATATTTTTCAAAGAATTCAATAAAGATAGGCTAAACACTGTTGTTGGCTAGTGACTATAACTAGTGTGAATGCTAATTTGGAAAAATTCCCATTTTGTGAGCAGAGACAATGTATTTCTCCTGTGCTTCATCAGCTTTAAGCTTACTCTGTACAGGCATACAGCTTTTGTGTAAAACAATCTTGTCATCTCAGGATAACATGGGCTATTTTTATATATGATTCTAAGGTAGATTACTCAGCAGATAATAGCATCAAGTCAGTTTTGTCTGTGGTTCAGAAGCTAAGCAAGGTAAGGTCTAGCTACTACTTGCATGGCAGATTACCAGATCTGTGACCTAGGTTGGAAAGTAAAACAAGTACAATCCTGGATGAAGGTTGTAACAAAATATTTTCTGTACTTTTTCCACTAAAATTGTGTAATACTATAGTCTACATGTATCCACAAGAAGTCAAGTTTGACTCAAGGACATCTTTGTATTTAGACCAATTGAGCAGATTGAGAGAAAAGTTTCCGGGCATTCTTTTAAAACAATACAGGTATTATGCTATAAAGATTACATATGCGTAGTTGATATTGAGTGCTGTTTTTTTAATAGTGCAACACACACACACACACACACACACACACACACACCTCTAGCTTAAAGAAACATTACATACCAAGGGCCTATTATCTGGGAGTGAGAGCTAGTGAATTCAATGGAACTTACTAATGAGTAAGCATGGATTTAAGTTTGCTGAGCTTCATCTTTATTCAGTGAAGCTGTCTAATTGTGTATATGTTGTGAGAGGAAATATGTTTTCATCACATCTGGGAATCAATTAGCTTTACAAACTGCCATTTGCAGACAATACATTTTTAATTATTAAACTTTTTTTGATCTGCCCCCCTCCTTTTTGGAGATTGTGACTTCTGGCTAGTATATAAAGCTACATATTTACCTACATACAGATGCATATTTACAAGTTTATCGCATGTACACATTTACTAGAAAAGATGATTAGTATATAATGAGGAATTGGGTTTATTAACAAGATAGAGAAGGTATCTAATCTTCCTTTTGGTTAGGGTTACTTAAAGGCAGTCATTTCTTTTTGATTAAGTGATATTTGAATGTTAAAAAATTAACAAATTGGAGCAATGCTTGTTAGTAGAATCCATAGAGGATATAATTTGGAAATGCTTATGCTGTAAGAATGTTGGTCATTAAACTAACACTGTGACCCTTCTATACTCAAATTATTTTCACTCTAGAAATTTCACTATACTAATATCTGATATGTAGCCTGAAACACACACCATAAAAAAAGATTCCACTAACAAGATTTCATGAAAGCAGCATCTGTAAGTGTTTCTGAACCTTGGCACAGCAACTTTAAAAATGTGTGGACTTCAATTCCCAGAATTCCTCAGCCACCAGGACTGGGTGGCTAATTCTAGGAAAGTCCTCCTAGAATTTCCATACTAACCACACACATTAATGTTGCCAATTTTGAAAATCATTGATGTACATAATGATCATCTCACAATTCTGCTTTTTCAGAACAGTACTCAATCAAAAATAAAACAATAACAGTTGGTGCACACTGTATTTGTGGATAGGTAAAAGAATGATATACTGTACTTTAGAATCTCTTTGGATCAGACCATAATTATAATTAATAATGGAGATTATAGTTTCCCTATCAGATCCAATTGGATTCATAGAGCAACCTTCTTCTACTGGAATTCCAGATTCAACAAAGTAATATCTGAGGCCAAATGGCA